TATCACCTAAATTATATTTAGTATAAAATTCATTATATAATTCTATTACTACGTTTTTAACCTCACGTAGTATGGTTGTAATATTTACCGCATCATAATGTAAGCATTGATAATACGTATGCAAATAATCACTTAAACCATTTAATTTGCAACGCGGATCAAAAACACAAGCAAATAAATAAATAATGGGAATTTCGCCATAATAATGTAGCCACTTCATTTTCAATGTTACTATAGTATGTTGTAATTCAATATCATTTTCATATTCGTCAAAAATTCCGACAATATTAATACACTTTAATAAAAATAAATGCGTAGTAGGATAATAAACACCGGACAAAATATAAGTTGCATCATTAAAAACTTTTAAAATATCTAATTTTTTTTTGCAAATACCCCACTCTTGTGGGTATAAATTAATCTGAGGTATATTATTAGAAATGAATGCACATAATAAATCTTTATATTCATAAGATTCACCAGGCAAGTGGAAAGTAGAATTCCAACGAGTTGGAACATCTCTTGGAAATCTTTTTGGCTTTCTAGCATTTTCTTTACAAAATTTACCCAATTCTTTCATTTTTTGGGGATGTTTCCATAAAAATTGAATCGCCGTTTTTATTGGTTCAAGAAAAATATCAAGAGTTTTCAAACCATCTTGTACACATAAATTTAAAACATGAAAAGCACATCTAACGTGAAAAAATTTCCCGCCAAAAGCGGGTTTACAAATATTTTCTAAATCGGCAATTGAAGCGATATTTGCCGCGGCATTATCAAAACCAATTGAAAAAATTTTGTTAAGCAAATAATATTCTTCTAAAATTTGCCTAATCATTCTATAAATATTATTTGCCGTATGCTTACCATCGAAAACTCTAAATGCAATAACTCTTTTTTGAATACTCCAATCGTCATCTATCCAATGACATGTTATGCCCATGTAAGAATGCGTTTGCCAATGATCACTCCAAATATCACTACCTATATGCACGCGTCCATTAAATTACATAAATTTTTTTTGTAAATCCTTTTTTCCATTTTTGTAAAGATCTTTAATTATTCGTTTAAGTGAATTTCTAGGAACACGTTTTGCTTGTAGAGCACATGCTTTTTGTACAAATTGATTAAAACCAAATCTTTCTCCAAAACTAAATGATAAATGCTCAACGGAAACAAATTTACCTAATTCTTCCTTATAAGTTTTTTCATTAAAATGAAATAAATGGGAAGTGTTAGGATTGACGTACCCGGAAATTTGTTGTTGCCTGATATCGATTCCCGCTTGGGTTGGATGTTTGCTCCTAAGATGTCGTTTGAATGTTCCATATTCTTGTCCACCTGTATATTTATATATTTTCCCACAATGTTTACAAATTATATCATACCTTTTTTCACCAATATCAAACCTTTCCATTTTCGTGAAGTGATCCCAAATGTCAGATGTAAGTTCCTACTCTGCCTCCTTTGTTGTAGATATTTTGGCAGGAGGATGAAAACTTTCTTGCGTCGGGACGCGCTCCACATCGGGAAAAATGTTGATTTCATTATCTTGAAAATCTGCATAATCACGAGGATAAAAAAAATGATGGGATTCCGTCATGATATTCTTACCTTTGCCAGTTGGCACTCGACTTCTACTTGCCATTTTTCTAGTGGATTGAGAGAATTGAGCAGGTTGATTGGGAGAATTAAGAGAGAATTGCGTGGATTGAGAAAATTAAGAGAATTTAAGAGAATTTGAGAGAATTTAGAGTATTGAGAAAATTTGAGAGAATTGAGACTTGAGAGTATTGAAAGAATATGAGAGAATTTTCGAGAATTTATAAGAAAAAAAATGAGAAGAAAATTTAGGATAAAAAAAAAAAGCTAGATAACCGTTGCAATGCAACGGTTATCTTTTTAATTTTTTTTATTATTTTACTTTTGCGGCTTTTGCCCGTTGCAGGCTGCCCTGGCAACGGGCCGCAGCAGGGCCTGCAGACGTGCAGGCCATGCTGCAGGTTTTTTTTTTTTTAAATTTTTTTTTTGGAACCGGAATCGGGCCTGTAGGCCACGGGCCGGTTCCGAACCACGGGCCCGGTCAACGGGCCGGGCCCGGGTTTGACCGGGCCGATTCCGGGCCGAAACCGGCCCGTGGCCATGACTACCTACTGTACATCGGTCAATTCAGACATAAGCCTTTCAATTGTGCTAATTTAGTCCTGATATATTTATGAATTTTTGGATTATCATCCCTATAACCCACCAAATCATATGATTAGCAACTCGAAAATCAATCTTTACGGATCGATTGTCATGAATTGTGAAAGGACTTACATTGGAAAAACTCAATTCGACCCGATTTTGCCCGAGCATGGTTAGGAAAGTAAGTTGAGATTTCTTGCAACGAACGGGCTCGAAGGACAAGATTGGGATGGAAATGCAAAATTCGATCTTATTCTATTCATTCATTCATTCATTTGAGAGGATAAGATTCTATGTCATTTAAGAGGCGGCAACTTGATCTTCCCATTGACAAGATCTCCATGGACAAAAAAAGCCATCAAAAGCAAGGGACAAGCAGAGGCAAACAGGAGGGGGGAATAACTAAACCCTGAATGGGAATAGCACAAACCCGGCAAACAAACACGGGAGCAACGACGACTCGTCAGCGAAAAGGACAACTTTATTGCAAGAAGTTTCAAAATGGCGGTGAAGATAAAAAACGGTCCCTTTCACGAACCTCTTGACCGTTTCCTGCTAGGCTGCCATGACTCTCTGTGTTATCTTTAGCGCCTCTATGGGTTTCTCGTGAAATCTCGTTGTTTGACTTTCTTTTAGCTCTTGACCGTGCAAATTTTGCTGTGCGAACTTAAAAGACAGATGAATGGGCGACAGAAGAATTCTGGGTCTTGATCTGCTTCAGTGGGAGTGAGTGTAGCAGTCTTGGCAATGGCAGATGGGTCATCCGTTTTATATGATTTTAGGAAGGTGATCTTAAATTTAACCAGCATGCGCAGCTGGTTTGGAGGGTCTTGTCCTTGGTTATTTGCTAATTTTCTGTAACAAAGAGAGAAGCAAATGAAAAGGAAGCCGACTGGTGCAAATTGGGATGCAAAAAAAAACTCTGTTATTGAATTAGTAGTGTCTGCATCATGCCGAAGTTGTACTTGGCTTTTCATACCGGTCTCATTAGTTCTGTCGAGGCTTTATCCGTGGTTTTACTTTGTCAGTGTCGTGACGGTCGGGACAAGAATAGAGCTACGTTGGCTGCCGGCGTGAATTCTAGTTTAAATAATGAGTTGATCCTCTCTATGACGTTGCACTATACCGATGTAGCGAGCGATTTGTTTTTCCATTTTTTTGGTGGGATATCTAACGAATGTGTGAAAAGTCTTGCAAGTTTTGTTTCTTGACTGATCATACTATACAGATGTTAACGTGAACAACTACGAAAAACTGCACCCTACAAATTCCGAATGAGTAGATCATATCCAAGTGACTCAGGGGACCAGGTAGAAGATGAATTTCTCGTCTTCTGATTCTTGAGTCCAATGGCAAAACATGTTCTAGGCATGAGATGTGCAGTTCAGATCGTTTGTCTGAATCCTGAACCGATTAATGAATGTTGAACGACATTAGACTGACACTGAAGTTTTGCGCTCGTTAAGCAGACCTGTGAATGATCATATGCCATATCAGTCTTCGACTATCTTTTGAATACTTGCATTTGTAAGTATCTCAGCGTTTTAACCGTTGAAACCATTGAGCAGAAACACAACTTTCCGATAGCAGAATGAATATTCCATCTGAGACTCACAATACAGATCTGGAAGACACAAAATTTAAAGGGAACGTACATCGGTCCGTTCTGTCAATCACCACTTTCTTTTCTATGTCATACCCACTGTTGCCAAAACATTTGCCTTGAGCAGACACCGAGACACAAAAGGATGAAGAAAAACAGATAACGTGCTGAAAATGAATTGTATCGCTGATAAACATTACTCTCGAGTCCCGTGGATCACTGCTCCGCGCACACTTTGTCCCAGTGTAGTTGTATAGATAGATATCTACATTCAATGATCTATCAAGAAGATTCTTAGTTAGAAATTTTCGTTGCAAATACAAATCAATTCCACGATTTTGCTTCTTTGAAACTTGATAGCTCGAGGCAGAGGTTACACTAATCTTCCCAACGCAAAAGACTCGCTTCTTTTGCAAGAAGATTGTGATGCCAGGTCAAGCGAAGAAAAAAGTCCAATTCTCTTGTTGACCTAATTATAGGTTTCTTGAAAAGTAGATAGGACTACACGAGAAAGTCCTGATATATGCAGACTTCAAGCAGAAACTATGCATGTTAAACTCAAAATTCCTTACCACTTTCTTGCTCGGCTTTGTCACTGATGACATTAGCTGCCGTCTTTCGTGATATCTCCCAGACTCTTGCATTGACTATTTCATTGAGGTTACCGGTTAGCGAGTGATTCCACGCATTAACAACTTCCAAAAGGTTATGTACCTCCTATGAACTGATGGGGTTTCGCGATGACAGTTGAAAGATGGCATTTATCTTGTTGGCCCCCGTTCACTGTCCAGATGGATAGGAGGATTTCAAATTTTTGGTAGCATGGATGTAGAAATTGTGAGAGATCTGACCAATTTGAGTTTTATACTTTGAATTTTCCTGTAACAGCTCGAATCCTGGAAGCAGCAAGAGCATCTAACAGCTTCGGCTAAGGACAAGAAACACGACGTGGGAGTTTGCTCTCCTCTTGTCAAGATTCCATCAAATTGACCTATTCTACTGGTGTCTCGGATAGAAGTTGACTTCAAGGTAACCTCGATCTCCAAGTGCCCCATTTTTTCTTATCGATCAAAAAAGTTTCAGTTCCATGTCAAACTTAGCATTCATGATTTTGCATGCAAACAAGTCAAATTGTGCCTATGTACTGGTTTGAATTTCTTGAATTAATCAACTGACAGGTGGAAGAGAAGAGAGAAGACCGGTTCCTCTGTTGAAATGAATGAAGTCCCAAGTGCTGCTCAGCTCCTCAACGCGACACGGGTTGGTTTGAAAATCCAATTACTAGTATATGGAATTTCTACATCTTTCAAGTCAAAAACAAAAGCATGCCCTACATCTGAATATTCAACCACTAGTGTAAAGAATTTCTACAATCTTTCAAGTCAAAACAAAAGCACGTCCTTCACCTTTCAGCTTCCGTTATTATTCGTCATCTACCCACCGAAAAGGAAGGCAGCAAAAATATTCTTTGCTACTGAAGTTAAACTGCGAATTGCCTGTTTGTCATGTTCTCCCCTTGGGACTCCTAGCCAAGTTTCTTTCTAGCAGTTAGGCAGGCCTGCCCCGCCTTGCTTGTGCGGGTTTAATCATGGCCAATTCAGTTGCCCCCATTCCCACAGCGGTTGTTGCGTTCCGCTTTCGGGTCCCGTGCGATCATTCGGTTGAGCCTGGGCTTCATCTGGCAAATTGCTGTTGCTGGGTCCTGCAGGCCTTTCCATTGCCTCGAGCGGGCGGCGATCGAATGCACGGAAACTTCCCGATATCACATACACTCGGCACAAGGTGAACTCGTGCCGCAACTGTGGACGGAAAGAAATGGTGAAGCGGTGAGTTGATTGAAGCTAGATCTTGCCAGGAAGATGTTTCTTAGAGACACTGCTCTGTTTTCGAAGTGAAAACAATAAAATAGTCTTTGAAAGATTGTTTTCTATTCTCTAATCTGTTCCCACTTTCGTTTTGTCTGATTGTTTGAGGAAAGCGATGCAATAACAAAAGCACTTCTGCCTAAACAAGAAAAAACTGAGAATTGCTTTCGCATTCAGTCTCAAAGTCAGTTTTAAGGAAAAGTAATTCAAGAACACTGTCACAAGACTACTGACAGACATACTGTTAGAACGATCACTCGGCATCTTTGAGAGGACAAAGCACGAACTACAGACCTTAGGAATGGCGATGTTTGAAGGGTTGGCTTCTTCTTGAATGGCCCTATACTCATTCATCTTCCATTTTGTTTTCCTCCCCGTAGGCGATTTCCCGTTGTAGAACACCATGGTCTTCTTCACCCCGATCACCCTGTTATCGGACGAATAGACGTATCCGGGCGACCCCGTGGCCTTCCAGTACCCGGAGGCCGTGGTCCGGTTCGGCCTCCCTCCACGCGCTTCCCTCTCCTGCCTCGGCGCGAAGAAGAACCACTGCTCGGTGTCTCCGTGGCACAGCCGCCCCGCGAGCCCTGCAATCATCATCACAGAAAAACCAAAATGAGCACCCCCCCCCCCCCTAATAATAAAAAAGGCTCCCCGCCATTCTCGCGAGTTCCCTTCCAAATCTCTCATCACGGCGGAAGCATCATTAGATCAAAAGACCGAAGCGGGGATCGCGCATACTCGGGAGCTGCCACGGGTCAATGTCGTAGACGTCGACGACGGGCACCACGCGGTGCATGTCCTGCCTCTGCCCCTCGAGCTGGTTCCGCAGATAGAACGAGACGAGCTCCTCCTCAGTCGGGTAGAAGCGGTAGCCCAGCGGAAGCTCCCCCATGTTCTTGTTAGTATCCGCGTGGCTGCATGAACAAGAGGGTATATTTTGCTCAGAAGGGGTGTGCTGCGAAAGAGGGCATGTGGGCAAGTGAGGGACAGGCTGCGGAGACTTATATAGAGGACGTGGATGGGCGCAAGTAGATAGGAATTTTGGGAAGGCGTTCGGGGATTGGTGCGATACTTCCACGCGGTTTATGTGGAGAAAAAAGGAGCTCGCTTTTCGTCCAATGGGCACACATCGCTTTTGCTGCTCGTTTTCATTTATCTACCTATATCACAGGCAAAGTAACAGGAGGTCGTCACGTATCCGTCGCACTGTTGCCCCCTCTTTTGAACGAGTCAAGCTCCCGAGTCTCTTGGGCCTGTGCTGCCGTGCTGTGCCCCATGCTCTGCCTCCTGCACACGCCCCCTTTTTTCCCTCTCTTTTCCCGTTTTTTTGCTACGTGGATCGAATTCGACGAGTGCTCGGGTGCTCTCGGAACACGACGTTACCATCGACCCGATGATACTTCGGGATCGACCCCGGCGACCAATTCGGCTTCATGGAATCCGTGTCGTGCTCTAGTATGCATTCATGCCCGAGACGATATTTACGAGACCAAATCTCGATATATAGCCAGGCTTCACTTTTTGGCGAGACCGAAAGAGCGTTTCGAAGTTAGGCTTTTGTAAATATCGAGCGCGTCTCATGGGGAGAAGGCCACGCAGAGCTGTTCTTTTTTGCTTGCCCTTTCCATTTCTTTTCTTTGGGTTTTTCCTCTTTTGGTACGATATTCTCTATTTTTTTGGTGATTTCTTCCGAAAGCGGAAAGGACCCGAAAATGGTAACTTATCAATGCAACCTCCTCTCGAGCATTTTACTCTACACGCATTTTTGCTAGGGAAAACATCTTCCTCTTTAACAAATTGCGTTGGAATGTCAATCCAACCCAACCCAACCAAATCCAAAAGGGTAAGTTCGATAAGCAAAAGGGGATGCGTGTATATAAAGAGCAATAGAATTTCCGTAAACACCTCGTGCATATGATAATAACATGAGGCTGAACCTTACTCCGATTCAATTTTAGAAAAATCGATTTTTAAAGCTTAAATAGATAAATAGAGAGAGACCGCGGCAGCACGTAAAAATCGCATTTTTAAGCTCCAACGATGAAAAAAATCGCATCTTTTAAGCGCTGTCTGAAGTGAGATCCGGGCAAGGCAACAACGCGGAGTCGGAGGTGAACTCATTTTGATTTATTGATTTAATTTCTCACGGAGGCCGTACAATCGGACCAAAAAGTCAGAGCACGTGTGCTCTCAATTCCAATTTTGCCCCCCCCCCCCCTGCCTTTCTTATTCTTATTTCCGTAGGATTTGCGAAGCAAGGAGCTCGATTTCTCAAAAAGGAAAATGGTATAAACTATCTTTGAATTTTGTTTTGATATGTAACGTGATCATTGAACTTTTAATTTATTCAATATGATCACTGAATTTTAATCCAGTGTACATTATAATTCCTAAACTTTTAATTTATTCAATGTGGTCACTGAATTTTAACCCAGTATGTATTGTGGTCCCTGAACTTTTAATTTATTCAATGTGACCCTTAGATTCTTGGTACACGTTCAATTTGGTCCACGAACTGTATGAAAATGTTCAATGTAGTCATTCCATTAATTCAGCTTCAGGGATTATATTGAACATTTTCGGGACTACATTGAACAAGTACCAAAAGTCGAGGGGCCACATTAAACAAATTAAAAATTCATGGACCACGTTGAACATTAAGTTAAAGTTTAGGAGGTACATTAAATAAATTAAAAGTTAATAGACCACATTACACATTAGGTCAAAGTTCAAGGATTGTCCCTTTGAAATAAATTATTATTCATGGAGAAAGCACGAAGGCCAAATTAAAATTGCACATTACAACACCGATACTACTCAATTCTAAATCCGAAGCAGCAATCCCCATCGTACCCTCTTTGAATTCCGCCGATTCGCCCATCACGACCTCGTCAAGACCACAGGAGAAAAAAAAAGGGTTACGAGCGACGCCGCAGCCTGCGTGCGGCGCGATACCGGCATTTACGAGGGACTCGGCGGAGGCGAATTCGGGAAGATCGGGCTAATGTGGAGAATCTTGAAGAAATGGGCGTTGCCATCATGATGAGAGGAGAGAAATGCAATGTGGGTAGAAAAGACCAAAGCAAATCATCAAATTCTCCAATACCAAAGGATGTGCAATCATCGCCCAATCTCACTCACTAAGTGACGGCACTCACGTACTGCTCTTTGAACGAGTCCAACTGAAAAGTGGCTCCCACGTCCTGTACGCCGTATGTTATCCTTCAGCCTCCTTTCGTCTTCTCGAAAAGTAAAAATGATTTAAAAAATTATTTCCGTTTTTTCGAAAACGATTCGCTCGCGGTTCTTAAAATAACCTGTCGACGAAATTCCGGATAATAATTTATGTCTAAATATTTTTCGCGAGCGGTAAGAATACTTTTCGTCCATTTATTTTCGTGAGCGATAACAGACGGTCATTTTCCAATCGTTTATTTTCCACGGAAACGAAACGAAACCCCGTTCTCCTTTTCCGGATCGTCGGGTTCCGTCCGTTTGTTTCGCGAAGAAATAAACGATTTGAACGGCCGTCTGAATCGCCCCGAGATAATCGATCGACGAAAAATATTTTCATTATCGACAATAATTATGTCTAAAATATTTTCATACATTTTTATTTATTTTTATAAGCGATACAAATATCTATTTATAAAAAAATATATACATATATATTTTTTAAAATCATCCGTGTTTTCGCGAAATTAACGAAATCTTATCGATTCCTTCTTCGTCGCCCGCTGAAAAAAGGGGGCATCCACGTCGATGAGACCGAGTCCTGGAGAACTGAACAATCAGGAAATAAAAATAGAATATAATAAAATAAGAGAGAAGAGGGTAAAAGAGGGACTGCAAAAGAACAAAAAAAAAAACACGACAAGGCCAGCTGTTCGTTGGCCTGCCTTTTTGTCTGGGGGTACGAGGGACGCGCAAGCGATTGGAACCACCATGCGTTGCGTCGAGAATCCTTCCTCTCTCTTTTCTTATTTTTTAAATTTTTTTTTATTTTTTGCGCTCTTTTTTTATTTTTTGGGTTGTTAAATGGAAAAATCGAGGATTTGGGGGGGATTCATATTATTAATTTTATTATTGTTATTATTTTAATAGCGTTTGGTATTTTTGCTCGTTCCTGTCCGCGTTTACTCCGTCTTCAGACAGTGGGAGGGAGGGAATCCCTTTTCCATTTTATTTAATATGTTTTTCATTGACTTGTCTCGTCTCTCTCTCTCTTTTTTTTCTTTTTTTAAAAAGAAAAGAAAGACGTCGAGGGGTGTCGGGAGATACGTCATACGTGGGTTTGTTTTGGATAGAAGGATAACGACACGAACGGTCTCTGAATTTCGAGTCAATGTGCAATTCAATCCCCGGATTTTTAATCTGTTCAATGTGATCCCCGAACTTTAGGCCTAATATTCAGTGCGGTCTCTGAACTTGTTTAATTTGTTCAATGTGATTCCTGGGATTTTGGTGCATGACCAATGTGGTTGTTGAACTAAATTGAACATTTTCCTAAGTTGAACATGTACTAAAAGTTCGGGGGATCATATTGCATATCGAGTTAAAAAGTTCGGGGACTACATTGAACAAATTAAAAGTTCACAGATCATATCGAATATCGAGCCAAAGCTCGAGAACTGTTTGCGTCATTTTTCCATTTGGATCCCCAAAATATTCTGTCTTATCCCTCCCCTAAGAAAAGGTCCGATTTTATTACATTTATTTTGACAAAAGAAACGCTTTTTTTTCTTTTTTCACATACCGCAAGATCCACGGCAAATCCGTATTTAGATATGCCCCTTTTTTTATATTTTTTTTTGAATTTGAACGGAGTAAGATTATGAAAAGAGACTCGCGTAAAGAAAAAAATTAATAGGGATTTGGCTGAATAAATCCCAAAACGAGAAAAGCCCTGCATTTTCTTCACGATAAAAATCATAAAACGACATTTCCGTATGGATATTTCTTATATAGCTTTGTATGAATATGATCTATTTTGCTACGTATTTAGTTTTTCGAACCTGGCTTTTTTGTCCACTTTTCAAGAAAAGACTCCCCCTTTCTCTCCACAACCCAAAAAAGAAAAGAAAAAAACTCGTCAAGATTATCGATCGAACTTCTCGTTGAAGCGTCGTTTCGCCGTGATTTGGATTATGGACCGTCGATAGTAAATCACAAATTACGAGCTCGACCCGCGTGCAAAACTCGGGCACTCAAAACTTTCGATCCGGCGGCTCCGAGCCGTTCGTTTTTTCAAGTTTTTATCTTTTAAATTTGAAGCCGTCGAATCTCTTTCTTTTTTGTCTTTGAAGTTGCCCCAAAATACACCCTCTTTTTGAGGATACATATGCGGGGGGGGGGTGGGCACACACGTTTTTGTCAACGAGCAACACACTTCGACCGTACGTCCCTTTCAAAAGGTGTTGTTGGGGGGGAAGGTCTCCAACATTGAAGATGGGTCCCCTTGGGGATATCATCCATCCGAGACCAAAGCGCGAGAAGGGTTCCCCGTTTGGTCTTCTTGTCTTTGTCGCGGTTAATGCTGTGTCGACCCTGCCATTGAATCCGTGTCGAGAAACTGAAGCACGCCGCCCCCCCCCCCCCAAGTTCTAATCGCTTTATCACGACACGAACCGTGTCGTCAATCTTGACCGCCAGGCGTCTCTCGTGTTTTTTGCATTAGCTGGATCCAGAGCGGATTCTGTCCGGGCATCGAACGTTCGCGTTGGTCTCTCTCTGCCCTTTCCCGGTCCATTTAGACCGCGGATGGATTTGGTCCTACATGGACGACACTTGGTCCTCACGGGAAGAAGGGGGCGACACTGCCACTCGGATTTCAGCCCGGCCCGGTCCGTCGTAAGCAGTCGATCGGGCGTCCCGCGCGCGATCGACGGCCGAGATTGACCCTATACGGGAGCATTTCTTTCGTTTCGTTTTCGTGGCTCGAGAAACGGACACGTTCTCAAGCACGTCGTGCTGCGTCGGGACTCGGGATAAGATATACGTAGGCACATTTGCGGGGGAGTCTCCACACACTTAAAGTTCATGTATTTGTAGCATATATATGCAACACGGCCTACGCGAGAATTAGAGATAGAGAATTATAATCGATTTCTTCTACAAAATCAAGCACAAGGCAAAAAGCTTAATAGTTGCTATTGCATCACATGGGTCTAGATGCTTTCATTCGTACAAACACTGGTACGTACACAAAACACGCGCGCACATATATAAAGATGTAGATTTTATATGGGGCTGCTATGGATTATGCGGGGGGATTTAGTAGGATTGGCCCTGATTTAAGGTATGCCAATGATGGGGTAGAAGGGGATGTAGTAGCTGGATGGTGCTAGGCCCCACTCTCTAGGGAGGGGGAGATCGACGGTCAGCGATGACCCGACCGTGCTGCGGGCCCCGCACTCCCTGCCCGGCGGGCATGCCGTGGAGATGGCCAGCGGCGCGGAGAGGGCGTAGGAGGCGGCGCCGTCGCGGCCCTTCGCCTCCGCGACCTTGGCGACCATGTGATCTCTCGAGGCGTATAGCTGTTCGGGACCTCCGAGAACCTTGGCTAGGCAGTTCAGCGGGGCAGCGGCGGTCGAGCCGCCGTTTTCGTTCGTGGCGCCATTGGAAGAGGCCTCCGCCCCGCTGTCAAAGGAGCCGTCGTCGTCTGTGGCGGCCACGGATGCTTTCTTCACTCCATCGCACTTCACCATGACTTTGATCCCTAAACAAACACAGCAGATAAAAAAAAATCGTGTGTACAGATTAGACGCGCGGCACGAGTTTGCTTTCTCGCGACATTAAAAGTGCAAAGAGTTTTGCATGTGGACCGCCTAGTCATATTTGGCTTGCGCTTCACTTGATCCATAAGATTAGCACGTATTCCTTCCGCTCGGAAGTCACCTTATTAAACTAGATTTTCTTATGATAAAGGGCAAAAAGTTAAGGAATCATCCTTTATTTGTTGTAGCCAAGAACACTACCAAAGTGGTAAGAGCATGTTTCATATGGTCGCCTTTTAAAATGAAGTTTCTAAGGCAGGGTGATGTGTGCTTTTGTTTGGCTCTTTGGCCTTTTTGCTGTTAGTGCTCTTTCTCTGTTTGTGGAAAGAAAGCTGGAACCTCTGAGAAGTGTTGGTGCTGCGTGGATCTTCATATTATGCGTCGGGCGGGGGAAGGGGAAAAGGATCTACATAAGGCAGGTTTATATGGTTCTTGTATTTGGTAGGGTGCTATGGTCAAAGTGATATCTCGAGTCACCTCTCGCGTTTAATTGAGCCCCGGAAGTTCGCCAAACGGGACTTGGCTTATGGATCTTACGGTTTTAGGAGGGCATAAGCATAGAGTCCCGGTGCCTCGCTAGCTCAACGAAACACCGCACTCACTTGGAATGATATGTTGAACGTCATGCCGTGCCGTATATGCAGACATTTCTAATTAAAAAAATCTATCGTCTATGTCGTTACGCTATAAGTAAGACGCAGCGGAGAATAATTACGTTAGAGACATTATGACAGGTTTTTAAAGGGATACGGCGTAATCCGGTTGGGTGTATAAATATGACCCGCTCGTTTAAATATTCGGTTTCTTGTTTTATCACGACACTAATCAAAACAACTTCAGTATCCTTAAAATGGGTTTTAAGACAAAATGCTCTCTATTCTGCTTCTCAAGAGCTTCTGCTTTGCCACCTATAGAATCATGCACCTCAGGAGAAAATGTGGATTAACCCTCTCCAATTAAAGGCAAGAGTCTCCCGACAACGCAACTCAATGTCGGCATCAAGTCCCTTTAAGAAGTGGTGAACCAACGCTGCAAGGGAGCAAAGAATTCGACAACAGCATGAAAGAAATATGGAGAAATTGAGTGAGGACCTGATAAGTCATGGCCTTGCTTGCAGTCAAGGCAGGTCACTTTTCCCTTCACAACAAGGCAGACCGAGACGTCGAGGCTTGCCAGAGCAAACGCCACGAAGAAGGCCGCTGTCGCCAGCCGATGCCGGAGAGCCATGGACGGATGATGTATCGACCCCCTCTCCCTGGTTCTGCACACGGCTAACAAGACGAGAGGTGAGTTGAAGCAAGTTGGCATGGCATGAGGGCAGGCTTTTATATAAATGAAGAGGAGAACTACGTCGCCAGTAATGGAGGACGGTCCCTCTTTCCAGTTAGTTGTTGAAGGGGGTCGTGAAGAGGGCAGTAAATTCTGTCTCATCATGGCTCTTACAGAGAACAACCATAGCACAGATTTTTCCCTTCTTTCTTTTTTTGGTTTTTCTTTTGGGTTTCGCATTGATGTGATTAAGAACTTATTTGGGTCGAGTAATGTTCATTGGCCGTCGGAGTTCGCTAACATGAAACAGCAACCATAACTGATTAGGCTACGAACGATAATCATTCTGTTTCTATTTTTCTGTTCCAGAAACATGTTTGGAACAGAAATCCGTTTGGTAACGCAATTTCATTTTTCTATTTCTAGAACAAATTTTGATTTCAGAAATAAGTTTGGAACAGAAATGAGAAGTTAAAATTCTTCTCATCGCTCGTCCTCGTTCCTAGCCGATCGCCCATTTGCTAGCCACTTGCCGGCTGCCCTCCTCCCGTTGCTGGCCGCTGTCCACCGACCATCGTCTCTCGCCGCCGGCTGCCCGCAACCTGCCATTCGCCGTCTCCTACCACCGGCGTGAGCAGCCGCCTGCCGTCAACCGGCCACCGTCTCTCACCACCGGCCGCCCTCCTCCCTCCACTGGCCGCTGCCCACCTCTCACCGCCGGTCGCCGGCCGCCGGTCACCGTCCATCGGCCACCGTCTCTCGCCATTGGCCGCCCTCCTCCCGCTGCTGCCCTCCTCCCGTTGCTGGCCGCCTCTAGCCGCTGTCCTTCGAACTGGCCACGTTGCCATTTGCCGCCATTTCCCCCCGCCGCCTTCCTTCTGCCGCCACCGTCCGCCGCCGCCACTCGCCCACCATTCATTCGCCGGCCACTCGAGAGGGAGAAATTTTGTGCCATTATCAAACGAATTTTTATTTTGGGAACAGAAATTTTGTGCCGTTATCAAATAGATTTTTATTTCGGGAACAAAAATTTTGTATCGTTATCAAACGGGTTTTTTTGCTCAGAAATTCATCCAGGAATAGAAATATAAATAAATTGATTTCTGAAATAGAATGGTTGTTATTCGCAGCCTTAATTAATGTCTACAAAGAAACCATAATGGCTGTCTTGGACTGCGGGCTTCCCGTAGTCCTGGGCAACTTGGCATGCAGAATCTCTACTACGTTAGACCGTCAGCAGCTGATAGCGAACTCTGTCCACTGGCTATGCTCCTCAACCTGTCTTCATAAGATGAAGGTATGTAATCAGGTACGTACGTACGTACGCATGCTACTTATTGTCCTAAGAAGATAGCTGCAAGGACTGGGTAATTCGAGTCACTGCCTGCGTTAGGATGGCACGAATGTTACCGGGATCTTCTCATTCTCCGAAATACCAGTTCCCTTCCATGATTGGAGGAAACTTCTGTGACCCCATCGAGGACAGAGCACATGGAGGGTACATTGCTCAGTGTACAATGGAATAGTACAGAATACAGCTAAGTCGAGCAAGACTCACTTATTACACAGTCGGAGAGTAGGTGATGGACAGGCTGCTGGGGCTCAAGACCTGCAAGGTATTTAAGAAGATACAATAAAAGCTCACATTCATTTGTTACCCCACAAGTTTGAAAGGCATCATTCTGCATTTACTTAAAAAATAATGGAACTTGATGCAAGCTCGAATATACTTGTGGAAGAAACAGTTCAAATCTGGTCCAGTGAGCGGCGTTATCAAAGGTCCATGACACTTACTACGTTAAAAGGTTTAATTTTCAAATTATTGATTACTCATAACACAATAAAAAATTTGACTATTGCTGGAAAACTCATTAACGAAATCACAATTAACTCAGAGAAATTGATCTTCGTGCACCTGACCCGAATTTGTAAATCCCACATCCGTTGATATCCTTCTAACATACTCGATGTGAATGAGAAAGAAGGTGAAGATGAGTGGTTCCAAGGAATGACATTGCCAGCTCCCTCAGCTAGTGTGTGTTGGGTATGCACATGAGCCTGAAAAATGGTGTCGCGAAAGCACAGCCTACTTGTTGTCAGCCATTCACAAGTGCCCAGATTCTGTCTCTCCTCTGCACAAGTGCACATAATCTTGAATCCTCGTCCTCTAAGCAACTTTTCCAATCCGAGTATCAATTGCATTAACATCTATTTGGCTATAGGTAATGAAAAACTTCAGAACAAAACGAGTGAGTTTCATCTTCTCTGCTTCTCTCTTTTTCTCTCTGTAATGTCGAGACCTTATAGTACTATCTAATCGATTCACATGCAAATTTCCGGACTTTCCCCCGCAAGGAAATTCTCGGTTTTAATTTGCATATGTTCAGGATCAATTCAATAATACAATGGCAGAGGAGAAACAAGCAGATAATAATTGCGGAGTAGTCATATCTCATGCAGGATCGATGTTTATGCTGGTATTAAATGCACATGCCTTCGTCCGTCACCATTGGGACAAAAGGATATCGAAGCTCTTTATTTGAAATTTATCTTCAAGATGCACTTAACTGCCAGTTTGTGAAAAAGGACGGACAAGAGGATCTGGTGATGACCACCGGTGACAAAAATTCATTAAAACCGCCAAAATAGAGGAGAAATTTATTGAAGAATGCATGCCCACCTTCTTCCTATGGCTCAGTAAATCAAGAAGTCACATTCCCGGCTGGTTATCAAATCCTCTTTTCGCATCAAGTGCTTCACTCTTACCATTGTATGGCCTGCAAGGAGACAATCAAAAGGGTACACATCGCAACAAGGACACCGTGTAAGCTTAAACGCCATTTAGCAACTGTGTCCAGTCCTTGCTCTCCATGAGTTCAAAATAGGACCCACACACGTGCAATATGATTTTTTCACAAGGAACAAACATCATCTCTTGTCCAGATCAAGTGGAGGATCGGGTCTGGATATTTGAAATCAAGTAGTGAATTGTGTCACCTCAATTCGGTCGGTCCAATCAACACCAAGTAGCTTATGGTCCATAAACCTCCATCAAGGATCCTGTAAATCACTCTAAATGGAAGGTTTGTGCAACATCATCACACGGCTCAGAAAACCCAACAACCTCGTGTTCCTCTTACATCATTTGCTCGTACATAAGACTGTTAAACTGTTCGTTCCAGAACTAATCAGCATTTGCTTAAACTGAGGACTAGGACATATCATGTTTGATGGTGATGTTATGGCCAATCCTGACTTCGTTTGAAAAACAAATCTATCTTGACACAGCATTAATGAGCAAGCATATGGAAAAAGATCTGCCTGAAAAAGCAGATGGAACCAGCAAAACTTTTCCTGTGACTGAGAGTGGCAACTTCAGACATTAACATCTTAACTTGAAAGTTCTATAACAGCTTCACAACCAGGGTGAAGTAATTAAGGATGATCGGTTTCCAGTCGAGTCCGGTTTCAAGGTGAAACCAGGAACCGGACCAGGAGGACCAGTTCCCATTGGTCCTAGAGACCGGAAACTAGTCACTTAGGATTTAGTTCACATTTTACTAATTTTTGTCAATGAATTTATGTCAATAAAGTTCACTTAGGATTTATTTCACATTTTACTAATTTTTGTCAATGAAGTTCACTTAGGATTTAGTTCACATTTTACTATTTTTTTTAAAGCAATAAAAAAACAAAAAAATGTATATGTAGTCGGTCCGGTTCCCCCTTGGAACTGGGAACCGGACCGTCTGGACACCGGTTCCACTTTTAGGAACCGGGAACTGGACTGACACTCCTAGGAACCGGGCCGGTTTTGTCCGATTCCTGGTTTTGGCAGTCTGTTTTGCACATCCCTAGAAGTAACACCCATCAAGTGCCATGTAATTTTAGGCATGACGGGTGAGATGCCAATATGCAGGGAATTTATCCACCTGATCAAAGGAAATTTGAATATCCCAGCGTTTAAAGTCAGATATATAAGAGCCGTGCATGATCTGCAAGCAAATTCCTGCCTTTCACAAGAGATTTGCATGATGCTAGATTACGAGAAAGGATCGGAAAAGGTGAAGCACAGCATACCTTGTTCAGTGCAGCCAAAGAGTTAAACCATCACCTACCATAAGGATAACGAGTGAGGGAGATTTTCTCAAAAAGTATGCTAAAATCTGGACAATAACTCTAAGACACCAAACAAAAGCGACAAGATAGATGAATGGACATCATCATACTAGATATTTGACGCATGACCCTATAAGCCCATATAATCGAACATAGACGAGAGACAATAAATTGGATACGCATCAGGCCCCGACAAAAAATTGAAAGTAATCCTTCGTCTAGCTTAGTCAGGCCTTTAAAATTGTCCCAACTACGTCATTCAATGTATTATCTAATACATTCAGGGAGACATACATTAAAAACTAAATTTTCCATGTACAGCTTTATTTTCTTATGCGACTAAACTAAGTAGAGCCGATGATTGTTGTACCTATGAACTTCCCAACAAACCGAGCTTGCTTATACATCAATATCTACAGTTTTTTTTTGTTGCAAAGGAACAGAATTTTCTATATGATGACCCAGGCATTTAAGTCAACTTTCAGTGGTACGACCTCACGAGATAGCCAGATTCCATGCTTGACCGATAACGAGAATGGATGATATAAGTTTAAAGATATTAGTTGACCTTATACAAGATATAAAATGAACGAATTCTGATCAAGACAGACTTATTACAAAGGTTGAAAGGGCCGATAACACAGCAAATATGACTTCAGAGACACTCAGCGCCACTCTCACTCAATGTATGTCTTTTATCCCTCTCAGTGACTGGTCATGTTGAATACGGAAATATGTGTTGTATGGTGTAAAGTTGCACAAGATATCAAGAAGAAGAGTCAATAGGGAAGCGAAACAGAGAAATAGAAGATAGAGGAGGGAAGAAGAAATATTTGAGAAGAGGGAACTTAAAGTTCTCTTTACTATAATGCATTCAGATCACAAAACTATGGTTTACACACTTGAGTTCACTAGAATGATCAGCAGATGAAATAGTAAAACAGTTCATAAGCCAGATGCTCTACCTCTCTACTAAGTAATGACTTCCTAACACACTATACAGCTCATCATGTGCACTTCATTTCTCCCAGCTCAGATCTCTCACTCGAAATCAGCGTATACCACAATAATTCCCCATGTGTTTCTAAAAGAAATATCCTTGACAGACTGCAACAAATCTTCCTTAGCAATTTAAGAGCATCACAATTTTGCGACGTGCTTGAGCAAACTAGAGTGTTAGCAATGAATGTAAAGATAAAAAAAAACCGGTTCTGCTTCTTGTACAAGCCTTTGTTCTGTCATGCCTACAGTTGTGAGGATCAACCCACGAAATATTGATGTGCATAAACTCACCTGAGCTCATTTCCTCAACGCAAACGAATAGATCAGAATCCAGAAAACACAGAAAGAAAACTCAAATTTAGGCCCAAAATGAAGCTCCTCACAGCCCATGATATTCAAGAACTTATCAATCTTGACAAACAGTCGGCAAGACAATTGATTGGGTTGAAATACAGTACACATGACATCCATTTTTTTTAACTAACAAAAGGAAACATCCACTGTATCGTGTGACATTAACTTCTGCTGCAGTGGATTCCATTTACCCAGTAATAGCCCCAAGAAAACCAAAGTGCTCTAATGCAGAGCCAAAACTTACTGGCAGTAAGGCATCGACGAACCAGAACAAATTGAATGGAATTAGATGTTAAGAGGTCAATGTATGTACTAGTCAAGAACAATATGAAGCCCATCAACTCGCTCACAACCAAAGTCTTGGCCTGTCGTAAATACCACTCCTGTTACCCACAAATTCAGTGTACCCTATCGCAGACGTATGTCGAAATGTGGCCCGTAAGGAAGGAGCTTATTAGCTCAATTGTCTACCTGGTAATGAAAGTGAAGTTTAGTGGTCATAAATTTCTAGTCGAAGCAAAGTAGTCGCTACAGATACTTCCGCCTTGATCATACAGATTGATAAGAACCTCAAGTTGGCTTATTTGACCATAAAATCGAAGATCGAATCACACATACTCCAGCATGCCAGTTCCATAATGCCAAGTAAACCAGACATCTAAAATCTCATAGCTGCAGAGCTCGTTCGAGTTTTCAAAGAATCACAACTTTATAATAATCATCTAACCCGTGCAAATTTTCACAGCAGTTGGAATAGAGAAGTAAAAGAGCCAGAACGGGGCACGATTTCAACATAATAATAGAAGAATACGTCCCTATTACTAACCTAAAATCATATATTATGAATGCCAAATTCTAATATACCAGACATCACAATATTCCGTCAGCTCAGTTACAGAAGCGTTCTCAATCTAGAAAACCTGTTTGCCGCCACACCGTATTGCGGACCCGATGCAGATCCCTCCCCTTCAGCGTCCGCCCGGCGCCTTCGAGCACCGAGCACGCGACGCTCTGCGAACGGGACAATCGCCTCGCCACTATCTCGTGCGGCGGCAACATCTCCTCCCCATCGAAATCCTTCTCGTCATCGCCATCGCCATTCTCGTCCTCGACTTCGACGAACTCGCGTTGCCTCCTCGCCATCAGCACAGGCACGTTCACCGGCGCCGATTGGTGGTACTGCTCCGCCGACGAAAAATGAGCCCGCGGAAATCTGTCCTGCGGGGGCCGCGGGATCGCAGGGATCATCCGCGAGGACGAAACGGCCGCCGCCGCCGCCGAGAGAGACGAGGAAGGAGAGACCGAGGCCTTGCGTGCGAGGACGGAGCTAGCCTCGCGCTCGGGGAGCGCCGCGAGTATGCCGAAGCCATCCGGCGGGCCGAAGCCGGAGTTCCCGTGCCGGCCGAGGTGGCGATCGCGGCGGCGAGGAGACGAGGCGGCGGGAACCTGGCCGCTGAGGCCGTTGCCGCCGCGGTGTTCGGCGGCCACGGAGAAGTCGACGGCGGAGAAGATGTCGTCCTCGCAGAGGTCGCCGTCGTCGTCAGCGTCGTCGTCGTCGGCGGCGGCGGCGTTGCTGGAGGAGGGGGGGCTAGGGTTTAGGGGGGAGAAGCTGCCGAGGAAGCGGTGGTGCGCGGAGGAGGAGGAGGAGGAGTCGGAGCTGCGGAACCGGATCGGTCCTCGGATGTCCATGATCGACCCGGTCCGAATCCGATTTTCGGCGGAATTCCTCCTCCCTTTTCGCGTCCCCCCTCCTTCTTTAAATGGAAATGATTCAGGAAGCGCCGAGGAGAACATGGACGGCGGAGATGACGGCGGGCCATCGGCAATGGAGGGTCAGGATCGGTGCTGCTTTCGAAGCAGAAAATGCACGTTCTCCTTGATAAGAAGAGTAAAGTTGACCAGGTGAGAGAAAATATTGACCGATTTGATATCGCCACGTTAGCATCTCGCGTGGCAGCCCAATTTTTTTTTTTTTACCCGTGTCTAATAACCGATTGACATGTGACTGCTGATGCGGAACGAGAAAATGAAATTTTTTTATTTTTCTCTTCTTCCACCACCGACTGCCATCTCCACCCCTTTTGGAGTCGCTTGTGGTCGGCTCAAGCTACATCTCTGTCATCACTCATGGTCCATGGCCGCAACCTTTGTTCGTCCATCCATCAACTGCAACCAGAGGTGGGTATGATTTCGGGATAGAACCTGGAAGCGAAGAACTGAAATGGTGAAAGCTGTCCGATTCCAGATTTCAAGGTATGCAGAGTAGTTTTCAACGTGATCTCGCGGTATTGCATGGCGTTCAATGATGAGTGTATAATTTAAAACCACTAGTTTAAACTTTTATTTTATAATTGAGATTTTTACTTTGTTAATATTTCATATTTTTCGTATATCCAAATACAAGTTGTGATTAGTGTATTGTAACGATAAGTGGTAGTCATTAAATGTGATAATTCATTGTATCGTTCAATTAATAATACAGACAGAATCTGGGTAGACCCTAGTACTGACCTTGGAACCTTTGATTTGCAGGGTAGGTTCCAGGTTTACAAAAAATGATGAACCGGTTCCAATAAATAGGTTCTAGGTGGAACCTGTACGGAATTTGAAACTGCTCATCCCTAACTACAACAACACTGCAACAAGCGTGATGGGAGTTTGTCCATCCACTAGACAGCTCTGAACAATTGCTCGTCCAGATCTGGATTGGAGTTATGCTTTCAGATTTGGTCTCATCCATGGCCGCAAGCCTAGCTCATCTATGGCATGCAAAGCGACTCGTCCACAAATTTTGCGTCCGCAGCTTGTCCATGGCCGGGAGCCTTGACAGCGAGCTCGAGATCTAAACGGCCATGGATTGCTAGCTCAAATAGCAAAAGCAAAAACAGAGGACACATATGTCAGGGAAGATGGTCGAAGCTTGAACGCAGCCATGGACGAGCGACGCGTGGCGCTAACAATTTCGACCATGGACAACCAGATCTCAAGATCTGGAGAACAACGAGACAGAGAAAACAAAGGAAGTCGACCATGCTCGGCTTGGACGCAGTGGTGGTTGGTCTAATCATAGTGCCGACGACTCCACAGTGGCAAAGGCAGGAGAGGAGCAGAGGTCCGATGGTTGTGGATGAAGAAAGGAGGAAGAGAGAGTGCTGAGAGGTGAAGATGGAAGATTTCTTGATTTGTTATTTAAATTCCACTTCAACTATTGACATGGTTGGTGGACAAATGTCAATATATTAGTGGATATGAGTAAAAGAATATACGCCTATCAATAAATATTTTCTCGTTGAGTAGATAAAGATCAGTTTTCTTTTATTGTTGGATTGGATAACCTAATTTGCTAGCCAATCCGCACGTGCATTTTCCTCCCTAAAATTACGGAGAATTTTGACCTATTGAAATTACTTGAGCATACTTCCAATTTGAGAAATGAATGTGTTACCAAACTGAAGTGATTAAGTTGATTTCTGAAGCAGAAAAATGGCTACTTGTGAGTCCAACTCCATGATAAGTTTGGTAATACCCAAAGAAATTGCCAATTTGAGGCCCAAGAAAATGCCTTACAGTTTTGCTTTGACAGAAGAATACACTTTCACTGTTTGCGCGAATCTAGCAACCCAATTGCCTGAGTTATCACAAATAAGTGCACTTACTGGAATTGGATTTGGGTTGCCGGAATTGGGTTTGACCGAACCAGAATGGAGGGGGTCCAATCCACAAATTTATCTCTTTTCTCCCTTTTGGCAGACAATTCATTTTCTACTATCGAGCAGACTAAATATCGTTGGCATATCCTAAGAATAGATTCACTGGTGTACTTGAAAAGGAAAAGTTTGTCTAGAGTAATCTTTTATTCCTCCAATTTCACAAATGCCAACAAGTTACACCAAATATGAGCGGCCAGTCATATTCCTTTTACTAGGACTGTTGCAACACATAGGTTTGCTATCAACCACTTACGCAAATCAAGAGTAAAGAAATGACCCCTTAAACCTATAGGCAAAATCTTCAGCTAAATAGCTTTTGCATACTTACAATCATGGAGTACATATAAAGTGGTCTCAAATAATAGTGGACAAAAAGCGTAACAGGGATCCGTCGTGATTTTACGATGAAACCTTTCGTGATTTGTAAGTATATACTCATGTGAAACCATCCACAGGAAACTTATGATCCTCTGCGGTCCATCCAATTTCCATACTAAGCTCCAGAGTTTATTTGTACGCAAATATTGTTCCGGGTAGATTAATTCATAAGCTTCCTCAATAGAGAAACCCACTGGCGAGGTTCCAATGATTATGACAAACAAAATCACAAGTAATGCAGTCGAGATCCTAATTAGGAGCAGACGACAAAATCCAATGGGTAAGGGGATTGATTCCATCAACCTAATTATTAGTCCAAAATTTAACTGTTATCCCATTAACCACTACCCATCTCGTACCCTCCACTCCGTCACCCCATACTTCACTAAGAGCTTTTCAAAATAAAGAATGGGTGGGACAAGTTGAAATATAGTCGAGGAGATTTGCAAAGTAGTGATATTTGTCTCTGATAAAAGTTACCCACAAGACCTTTGGTTTCGAAACTAAGGACCAAACAAGTTTCATAAGAAATGCTTTATTACTCCTACGTAAGCTGCGAAGCCCTAATCCTTCATAATTCTTCGATAGACAAAGCTTTTCCCATCCCAATAGGTGAATTTTCTTTTTGTCATGAACATCATCCCAAACAAAATTTCGACAGTCACGTTCAACTGCTTCACAAGCCAATAGGTGAATATGCCGACTGCATCACATATAAAGGCATGGTCATAGCAACATATTCAGTCAAAGTTACTCTCCCCACAAGAGACAAATTTTCAGCCTTCCATCCACGTAATTTACCATGCACTTTATCAATAATGGGTCAGTAATTAAGTTCCATGGGTAACTCATTCGTGGAGCATAAGCACTCCGAAATAATTGCAAAGATTGCTTGTAAGAGGAAAGCCTTCAACAGAACTAACATGGAGCATTTTGTATTGAGGGACGTTCTTGGAAAAAAAAAAGTTTAGACTAGTAACATTTACCGTCAAAGATCGGTATTCATAAATGTTTTATGCAACGGTTTTGGGACCCATATGAAATTTGATATTGAATTTTATTAGCCGATCCCACATGTCATAAAAATCTCCAATGAAATACGAGAAACACAAAAGCCCACAGAGCATAAAATCAAACGTAATCAGAGAAAAAGATAGCAAGACCACATAGCAAGTCCTTGAAGTCGGTGCGAAGATCCTCTTCCATGAATTGAAAGGGCCTTCGGGTCGCCGCTGCCCCGCGTCTGGCAGGGCCACTGCTTATCTTTGGTAGTAGGTGGCTGACAAGCCTTGTTGATGGCTCCGCAGGATTGCCTTATCTCCCCCGGAGAGCCATTCTGGAGCCTGCCCAACTTCACCATGGCTTGGCCAAACGTAGCCGAGAAGTCGGGCCTGCCGGTGATTGTCCCCACGACGATGCCCTTGGTCTGCTCGTCCAGCGCGATCTCCTGATCGATCTGCAGTATCCCTCTGCGGGCAAGTATCTGCTTGTAGTAGGAGTTGTCGACGATCGACGAGCTCAGAGGGTTCTGGTCGAGATAGACGATGCTGTCGACATTACTCTGGCTGTTAGGGCACATCGACCTTAGGGCGGAAGCCAAAGAAGGGTCCATGGTCGGGTCGGGTTTCCCGGTGTTCTGGAAATTGTAAAGCCGGTCCTGGAAGAGCGAGCAGTGAGCGACGCCGATCGTGTGGCCACCTAGGACGACACCACATAGCAGTTCTGTCAAGAACAAACGCTATACCACACTACAACTTCAAACTTATTTACTTGGATCTAGGCTTTTCAATTGATCGGTGACGACAATGCTACATATATGTACCTAGAAGAAGGACAATGTCGGAGACGGTGAGTCCCTTTTGAGCGAACGCCGCATTGGAGTCGGAGACGGAGATGGACAGAGCGGGGAGATTGACGTTGGAAGCGAGCAATATGAGCCCGTCTTTCCGTCCCGTTTCTACCTTGTACCGACCTCCACCACTCTGCATTGTTTAAGCAAATGTTTCGCGAATATGTCGTGATTTACTAAGCTAATGTGTACATAAGTATAGAATATACAGAAAGTACGATTTAATTACCAGGGACACGACATCTCTCGTGGCCATTACAATGATATCGGCGCAGGAAACGACCTTGGGACATACGGCCTCCACGGTGGCCTTCGCGGCATCAATGACATCGTAGCCCCCGACACTCAAATTCGGCGGCGCGGTCTTCTCGCTCGATGTTCCATCCAGAAGAATGGAAGCATTGCATCCCTACTTTTCATCTTATTAAATTAAACTCCGATGATGTCTATTTAGTTATCGAAACATTTCCACATACAAAACAAGCCCGTATTACACAATCCCATTAATCTAAATAATTTCATTATTAGTCAATAAGCTAGTTTTAAAGCACGTGCGTGGGAACCAAATTAAACTTTTAAGTAGCTTAATATGAAGTAATTTAGGTTAGTATCTTAGGTTAGTAGCTTACGGTGACGAAGCAATCGTGAAACTGCATGCGGAGGAGAGCCGGGGCGATGGTGGGATCCTTCCTGAACTGGGCCGCCACACGCCCGCCACGATGGCCACGACGTCCAAGATCCCGCATTTGCCGTTGTAGAACCCGACCTGAAGCACACCGCCGTGGCACGACCCGCTCAGGCTCGCCAGCACGAGGCCGATCAGGGCCAGCCCCAAAGCAGCACCCGCTCGCGTTGCCATCTTCTTCCTCGAGACAGAGAAAGGAAAAACTTGTAGCCGGAGGGACTATATGAAAAGATGGGGGAGATTGTGCGTTTGCGGATGCCGAACCAGTCGTGCACTGGTCCGTTTTATAGTGAAGTCAGCTGAGATGGGTGGTGGTTGGCCATTGTGGACATGAAGAGAGAGAGAGAGAGAGAGAGAGAGAGATGATGAGTACCATCTACGCCGACAAGCCGAAGGGCCCGTTTGGTTCAACTTTTAAAATGCTACTTAGGGGAATGCAAATACTTTAGGTTAAAGTCACTTGGGGAAATGTAAGTGGTGTTTGGTAAAAAATCATTTGTAAAGCTACTTTGACCTAAGTAGTGTTTGGTAAATTTTTTTTTGCCAAAGGGCTTTGAGAATTATCTTTTTTATTAAAAAAAAAAACCTATCTTACCCTTCGTCGGAGCCAGCGAAGGCCTACGGCCGCCGGCGAGCTAGATCTGGCGCCGACGACCGTCGCCTGAGGTCTAGCGACCCCCGGCGAGCTAGATCTATAGTTGGCGGTCGTCGCCCAAGGCCAGGCGACCCTCGGCGAGGGTCGCGCGACCCAGGGCGGCGGAGCCTGGGTGGTCGCGCGACCTTAGGCGACTGTCGCCTGGGTCGTGCGACCTCGCCGGCCTTTCGCTGACCCGATCCGGTATCGACCGCCCTCGCCGGCCACCTTATGAAGAAGATGAACAGTACCAAGAGGGGGCAAAATCAAAATAAACCAAAATAAGTGAGGATAGTTTGGGGACAAAAAATTTTGGTTCAGCATTCCACAAATGCTGAAAGCCCAAAGCTGGTCCGAACTAGCTTTGGGCTCTCGGCATTCTAAATGCTAGCATTTGGCCAATGTTAGGCCGAATGCTGAACCAAACGGTTCAGCATTTTGGGAAGGGGCTTTCGAGACCGAAAGCCCATCCCCAAAGCTGAACCAAACGGGTCGAAGAAGGATGTCAATGCTCTGCACGTCGAGACCAGCTCCGACGTGCATGGAGTCATCCATGGCTCCCGTCTTGTGTCCCCGTCGTTGACGATGACGTCACATTTCAACGACGTCACATTTCCCAGTTGCATCTTATCCCAATACGTCATTATCATGATTAAGGGTAATGCTTGTTGCTGCGCCGTTGACTTGCTCATACTCTTTTATCTCTAGGGTTAATACAATGAGAAATCCTAAATAATTTATCTTAAATTATTTTTTTGACCATAAAAAATCTCAAACTGGTATTCCTGGGACAATTTTATCCCGAACTATTTTTTTGATCATCAAAAACCCCATACGAGTATATCTATGACAATTTTACCTTGAACTAATTTTTTACAACAAAAAACCCCAAACTAATACATCTGTGATAAATTTACCCTTTGTTAGTTTCCGTTAAATTTTTCTATCAAATTGCTAAGTTTGACGACACGTGGTAATTGACGTGTGTATTTGTTCGGGGTTCTACCCCTGAATTTGTCACAAGTTTACCAATTTGTGATTTTTCGTGATATTAATCCAATTTAACGGACATTAATGGAGGGTAAATTTGTTACAAATGTACCAGTTTTGGGTTTTTAGTGGTCAAAAAATTAGTTTGGAGTACAATTGTCAAAGATGTACTAGTTTGGGGTTTTTGGTGGTCAAAAAATTAGTTCGAGGTAAAATTGTCGCAAGTGTACAAGCGTGGAGTTTTTTATGGTAAAAAAAATAGTTCGGGTTAAATTTATCACAATTGTACCAATTTAGGGTTTTTTGTGGTAAAAAAATTAGTTCGGGGTAAAATTGTTATAGATATACCAGTTTGAGGCTTTTCGTGGTATTAACTCATATCTTAAATTAGTGCAACAGCAATTGCTTAGGATCAAGCAGTTGGTCAACGTTTGATTAGTGAAATTAATCCTTTTGACATTCGAAATTATGTGTTTGAAGTTTTACTTCTTATACTCCGACTTTTTTTTAAGTCGAAAAAAAAAAAATACTCCGGATTTTAGTGTTTTTTTGCGGTTAGACATTTTATGTATTATCAAACACCTCAGTATTGGAATGAAAACCATTTAAATGAAGAGTAAAACAAAGCAAAATCTCGCACCATTTGGTCGGGACAAACTCAAGTCCACTTCATGTCCGTAATCAATTAGTTCATAATTCAATGGATTAAGCTTTTTATTCTAATGCGATCCAATTCAATGTATTGACAAGGGGCTCAAGTTTTTAACTTTTTAAGGTATTGTACTTCTCTGTCCAAAAGAAAAAGGTATGGTACTATCTTCTATAGATCGATGATGTACGAACTCATCCACAAGGGAGCCCCACTTAACCACATTTTGTAATATTGTTTTTGTTAATCACAATTGTTCCTAGTATATTAATAACAAATTTTCTCGAAGAACTAATCGATTTTAAGGCTCCGTTCGTTTTGGCAAAAAAATGTGACATTTTTAGAAAGTATTTTTCAGGAAGTCATTTTTCTGGAAAATGTTATAATTTTGCGGTGTTCGGCGACCGGCAACGAGGGCAGGCGACCGATGGCGGGCGACCGGCGGCTTGCCGCGGCGGTGGCCCCAACGGCCGGCGGGGAAAGAAGGAGGCCAGCGGAAAATGTTTTCCGCTTTTCAAAAGAGAAAAACATTTTTCTTACTTTTCTTCATGTTTTTCACTCGTTGAGAGAAAATATTTTCCGGGGTTAGTTTATTTTCCGCCCCCGAACACCGAAAAATCCAGAAAATATTTTTCACGAAATGAACGGAACCTAAAAAAGGAACCGGCGATACCGGTTAAACTTTCACCCGGACAGAAATCTTTCGAATGTCCATGTGTCAATCTATCTAATCATAATCAAATCAATCTTTACATGAATTGGAAAGCATATTATTTCAAAATAATTTCCTAAAAACAATGATTTATTTCTGAAAAAAAGCCAAGCGCATATTTCAATTTTTACTGCCTGCACCTTTTATTGTGACAGCAATTAGCAAATGCTCTCGAGGATTATTAGAAATATCAAGTAGTTATAACATACGTCGGTGGTGCCAAAAGAAAAAAAGTTCGCGTAAGCAACTTTATACGATATTAATTGAAAAGAGTAGGTGGCTATAGTCCTTTCATCTAACACTTCGTTTGCTTAACGGAAAATGAATAATTTAAAAAATATATTTTTTAAAAATGATAGTTTATCTCGCTTAAAATAATTAGTTAATAAAAAATATTTTCATTACCCATAATAATTATGTCTAAATATTTTTGTAAACGATAAAGATATTTTTCGTTCGTACATTTTTGTAAACGTTATAAGCAATCATTTTTAGGAAGATATATTTCAAAATTATTTATTTTTCACGGAACAAAACGGAGCCCACATGAGATTGCTAATGTAAAATTATCGGTACATATTCTATCTTTTTTCCTTTTTTTTGTTGAGATATTCTATTTTTCTTCACACCTACCAAAACTGTGCACGTCCACTTTATGTTATCATTTAAATTTCCTACCAAACAAATCCTACATTAATTAATTATACTAATCCGACAAAAAGCTGCAAAATTTCTTAACCGAAGGTTTCCCCAACAACATCAATTTTCCTACCAAAACCCCCCTCTCTCTCTCCTACTTTCCTTCCTCATCCCTCAAAAGCCAAACCAAAGCTTTTTTAGCCCAAAAAAATCGAGTTGATATCACGAAAAATCTTAAAGTGATACATTTGTGATAAATTTACTCTCAATTAAATTAGATTAATACTACGAAAAATCACAAACTGGTACATACGTGACAAACGAAAGGTAAAACCCCAAACTGGTACATCCGTCAACTGTCACGTGTCATCCAACTCAGAAATTTGACGGTAAAATTTAACGGAAACTAATAGAGGGTAAAATTGTCACGAGTATACCAATTTTGAGTTTTTGGTAGTCACATATGTACATCCGTCAACTGTCATGTGTCATCCAACTCAGAAATTTGACGGTAAAATTTAACGGAAACTAATAGAGGGTAAAATTGTCACGAGTATACCAATTTTGAGTTTTTGGTAGTCACATATGTATGAATTTGAAATTTTTCTGCGATGTTAACCCAAAAAAAAACTCAAACTTTACGCAAAAACACACGCAACAAAAGGCAAAAACACCCCAGAAGAATTTGGGTTCGTGATGATTTTCAGGTCGGTCTTCCGACCTTTACTTCATCCCAACTCAACGTAAAGGTCGCACCTTTCTTCCCCAAGACACAGTCTTGCCGCTCGTCTCGTTACTCTGAAAACACGTGAAAGTCGCGCTACGCGCTCTCGCTTGTACTTTTCATGGTGCCCATTTCGTGATTCCCCGAAAAGGAGAGAGACCCTTTTCGTTGCCAGCCATGGCGGAGGTCCTCCACCACCACCACCTCGCTTCGTCTGCAAGCACCGACCCTTCAGCTTCCTCGTCCCGTGCAACGCCTGGGAATGGTGAGGAGGAAGAGGGGTCGTCGGTAGAGATCGAGAGAGAGGACGGAGAGGCGCAGCAGCGGCTGTCTGTGTTGGCACTGTTGGTGGCGGTTTTTAGGAAGTCTTGGGTTGCTTGCAAGAGCGACGGGGGCGAGCTCTGCGGCATGGAGATTGGTTGGCCCACCAACGTGCGCCACGTCGCGCACGTTACGTTCGACAGGTTCGATGGGTTCTTGGGCTTGCCCGTGGAGTTTGAGCCTGAAGTGCCCAGGAGAGCCCCCAGTGCAAGGTACATTGCCGTTTTTTGCAACCTTGACTGTCTTAAATTTGAGATGTTGGGTTCGGCTTGTGTTTGGGGTAATGTTTCAGGGTTCAGAGATTTTGGGGCTTGGATTTTGTGATTTCTTATGCTAGTCCTATAGATGAGAATGAGGTTTTGTAGGATCTTATACTGGTTTGGGTCCGAATGTCAGCTGACTGAAATGGAATTATATGGGTCGTGAATTGTGATCTTGCAGTGAAGTGTCGAGTCATCCGAGTGTTGGGTCAAATGAAGCTCCGAGGTGGAGAATCTGTGCAAATGAGAGAAATTTCAGTGTTCTTGTAATGTTTCATTTCTGAGATTAGCTTGCTACGTATTTATTTAAATCGCACAATATTTCAGTTAGTCAGAAACATCCGAATCCCAGTAGTTGGGTAGCGTGTGGCCAATCACATTACAAAAAGCGGCATCATGTCTCTATTCGCAAGAAATGCAATGCTAGTCAAACTGTTCCTATGGCACAACAAATTGAATCTCTTCTCCTTTTAGCTTACAATAATAACTCGATATCATTGGCTGGCACCTTTTTGGTCGTATTTTTTAAAAAGTTCGCAATGTATCTTATTTGCTGTACCGCTACCTTTATGTTGATTTTGGTGTTTAAACCTTGCCTATGCAGTACACATGTTTTTGGAGTCTCGACGGAGTCCATGCAGCTATCATATGACTCCAGAGGTAACAGCATTCCCACCATACTCTTGCTTATGCAAAGACGCTTGTATGCACAAGGTGGATTACAGGTATGTCATTATTTCGATTCTTGGTTGACTTTGGAAAAGATGTAAGGAATATGAAATAGAGGCTTTTTCATGATTGCTCATTACTTTGGCTTTGGAGAAGCACGATGCTCTTCTAGCAACAAAACCAATTAAGTGGACTTCTGTTCCAGAGTTGTTTGACTTCTTTATTTATTCATGCAGGCAGAAGGGATATTTAGAATTAATGCAGAAAATAGTCAAGAAGAGTATTTGAGGGATCATTTAAACAGGGGAATTATACCAGAAGGTATTGATGTGCATTGCTTGGCTGGATTAATCAAGGTACTATGTTAAGCTTGGTAAATCATCTGTATTTAGGTCTCCAGTCGCCTGTATGTTAGTTAACGTTCTCTTTGAGGCTACGACACTGCTAAGCCATGCTGTAATGCACACCTTTGAGGTCCACTATAGAAGGCACGAGTTATTAACAGAGAGGCTGAAAGGATGTGTAGCTTATTTTGGAATTCCAACACCTATATAAGTAACAGCATGAACCCTGATGTTATGGGCAGCATCTGCAATTAAGTTAGCAAACTGTCAAAATCAACATTGTATTGCAGTTAAATCTTTAATGAGTAATATCTTGTTGAAGGATTGTTCGATGACTCTACTGGCTGGACCAGCCGCTTTTCGCATGTTTTTTATGGAATCTAATCATGCTAATCATGAGTTCTGGAACACAGTGTGGCGTGTGCACATAGAGAAACTTAAAGCCCTGGTGTCACTGATTCATGGCTGCTGGAGAGGGACATATATCTCTCATACAAAATGACCCTGACATTATTTGTATCGAAAAGTATAATCTTTTGTTAATTAAATACCATGTGTGTGTTCTATTCAAGCCTGTGTTCAATCAACTTGTGGAGGTCCTCTTCTTTGAGGAAGCAGGATGACACTTCTAATATGAACTAAAGTATCATTGCTTCCTCTTATGACTGGATCTCCCTATCAGATTTTTGCTCTCCTTCCCTTTCAAGATGAAAATTGTTGAGTATTAATTCATTTTTGTAAAAAATTTCTTAGGCATGGTTTAGAGAACTCCAACGAGGTGTTCTGGATTCTCTGTCGCCTGGGCAAGTGATGCAGTGCAAGACTGAAGAAGATTGTGCTGAGCTTGTGAGGCTTCTACCACCAACAGAAGCTGCTCTATTAGACTGGGCAATTAACCTGATGTGCGATGTTGCCCAGATGGAACATCTAAACAAAATGAATGCACGCAATATTGCCATGGTTTTTGCTCCAAATATGACTCAGGTTAGGTTTGAATAATACACCTGATGATATTTCATGGACTCTTATCTAGGAAGATGAACCACATTGAGCCCTTATTTTCTTATGGATATATCATGCTAATGTTATTTCATGTTAAAAGCCTTCTAAACAAACGAATGTCAAGTTTTTAGCAGAAGTACATTTGAAATGCTCCTGAAAAAACGGTTTAAACAGATTGCCATAGCTGTTCCCTTTTTTAGTTTTCTTTTGGCCAGAATGCCATTTGTTAGTTGTTGTTATTGTTTTTCACTTTTTCTCTATTGATTATACAGATCTTCTAAACTCTTGCCATGTAAAAGCTCTCTTCATGTAGATAAAGTCTGCAATTACCTTTGAAATATTCAAAATCATTGCAGATGGCAGATCCTTTGACTGCATTAATGTATGCAGTCCAAGTAATGAACTTCCTTAAAACACTTATCGCGAGGATGCTGCGAGAAAGAGAAGATTCAATATTAGAGTCAGCTCCAACTTCCTATACAGAGCCTCCCGATGACAATGGACACCAGAGTCCCCAGATTTGCGTTGAATTCACTCCACGAGCAAACGAAGTTTCTGTCAGCTCTGACAAGAATGACGACGCAGTAGGAGAAGGAACTCGAAGTTGCGAAACCAAAGCTGATAATTTTGATGGTCTTAAGGCCAGAGCTCGAGTAAGCAAAGGGAAATTCGGACATGGCCAAACCAGTAAATCCAATATTAAAAGCTTTAATAGAAAAATATATGTGCGGGAACCGGCGGTTCAGGTATTAGGTCCTGTTGAGAAGACTGGAGCAATTAGCACTTTGAGCAGGATAGATTCAAGGATAGAGTGGATAGAAGCCTGGCGATGATGGAAGCTACCAAGTGGCCAAGCCTCCAGAGATGTAACAAGCGATGACTATATTATTTGTTTAGGTCCACGTTTGCGAAGGTTGGGTTTTCTTATCAATCATGTCTATCTTTTCATGATTGGTGCTTGCTTGCTAATATTCATCATTAGGAGATGCTAATAATGGATCCTGCATAACAACTCGTTTGCACTCTCTTTTTTTTTTTTTGTCCTTTCCTTTTGCTAATCTGGGTTGCTGGCTTTGGATGCTATGAGTGGCTTGTGGGTTTGGATTCTTCTATCATGGTTTCTTCTGTTTCTTGTTCCATCTGCAAATAATATCAGATTCTACACTGGCATTTAATTCATTGGATCATGGTTATAATTGCGACTTTGGTGTCATTATTTTCTGCTCCATTTCTCTCCTATCCTTTGTCCTTTGAAAGATGTGAGAATCATTCACATTGTCTGCGCAAAGGATCTCTTCTTTGAACGTGTCGAAAATCTTCTTCCTAAAAATGTGATGCACATGACTTTGACAAGAAGGATATTTGGCACATCTCCCTTGTGTCCCTGGCAATGACAAGTATAACACACCAAAGGCACATGATGGGTGCTTGGCTGTGAATCTCTCTGCAATTGGATCCTCACGATCATATATCAGATAAAGCAGCGCAATCTTTAAAAAAAAGGACATTGGGTAGAAAAGATCACTCAGCATGTGCAGAATCCAGGATAATTCTAGGGATCTTCCTTTTTCCTTTTGTCATGGATGGTGACATCAGCCTGTAATCTAGGCGTGTCTCTGAATAATGCCGGTTCAGACCCTGATCCCAGAATCCTTTTTGGGTGAGGGCGTTGAGATTATGGACTATTGAAATGACAATGTTGTCACTGCAGGTCAATGAGACGATCTTTTTGTGGCATCTGGAAGAGTGTCCTAGATCAGGAAGTGCATGAGGAGGCAGGAACCGGAGAGATAATGAGAGTGAGGGAGTGAGTCTTTGGTGGCCATTGGTTTTCCACACATGCACATGTGAATGGTCTAGGAGGCACCAGGGCATGAGGCCCACGTGGCTTGGTGCCACTGGCAACAAGTGAAATTCCAGCTGGATAAGATGAATAAAAATCCCAGCTTTCTTCATTCTAACCTTCAGCAGAGAAAAGGAGAAAGCCCTTATCTCAGAATTGGTGTAATCTTATCTTCATTAGGTGAATACTTGTTGGGATATCTGAATCCCTGGAGCTGGAAAACAGAGTCAATCATCTGGATTTAATCTTATCGAATCCGCAATGCGATATGAAACTAGCTAGAATCATCCCACAATCCGATTCATTCACGAGACTCAAAAAAAGGGCCGGAAGAGACGATATAGACCAACATGCGATCTGAAATTAGCTAGAATCATCCCATAATCCGATTCATTCACGAGACTCAAGGGCCGGAAGAGACGTTATAGACCAACCGACGACTATCCTCCCTATTCTACCGTTATCCTGTGCCACGACTTATGAGCATTTGACCAAGCCAGAGTATCTATCCAAGAAATTAGGATGACCAATAATCCTCAATATGAAAAGAACTCCAAAACCACAGACACACAAAGCTGGGCTTTTATTCACAACCACAACCACAACCACCCATCCTTATTCCACTGCTCAAAATCAGCACCACCCCAATTAATAACTCCACACCTCCCTTTGATCTTTTCAACCGCCCCTCACCCACACAAAGATCAATATCACAGCCCGTGCAGCTCCAACCCTCTCTCTTTCCACCCCACAACAACCCAAATTTCCCTTCTTTTTCTCTCACTGCGAAACTGAAAGAGAGAGAGAGAGAGAGAGAGAGAGCTGAGACTTGTAGGGCTAAAAAAGGAAGCACTTCTCTACACAGCTATGGCTGCCTGTGGGAGCCTCCAACACATCTTCGACAACACATTACCCGATAACCAGTCTATTCTTGAATCTCTTTCCTCATGGAAGAACCACCACCACCACCACCATCATCCAATCATACCCTCGCACAGCAAGGATGACAGCGGCAAACACCACCCCATTGATCATCACCAAGCCTCCTCATGCACTGAGATATTTGGCGAACTCCACTTCAAGGAACAAGATCCCGAACCATCGCTGCCATCGACGATGGAGTTGGGGAACAACAGCAACGGCGAGGAGAACGCAAAGAGCCCTTCTTCGATGAGCTCTCGGCGCGGCAGCGGACACGGGCAACACAGGAGCAGCGAGAGCTTCTCATCGATGAACTCGGAGAGCCTGCAGCTGTGCACGGAGGGGCTAGGGTTCGAGAGCTTCGGTGACGTAGAGGACTACAAGCTGGCCGAAGCGTGGCAGGCCAAGGAAGAGAAAGAAAGGGCCAGTACCTGTATGACCAGGAGGAACTTCTACTCATCTCCATCGTCGTTCAAGCATGGTCCTCAGTATTATCCTCATAATCATCATCATCACCTCCGCGAGTTTCGGAGATCGAGATCGATAGGGAGCGGGTTCCCGCCCCCGATATCGAGCTTGAGCATGAATGGGAAGCCCTGGGTGTGCTTCAAGTCGTATCGCAACGACGGGCGATTCGTGTTGAAGGAGATCAGGTTCCCGACGCAGGAGTTCCTTCACGCGTCGAGGGAAGGCGGGCGCCTGACGTTGCAGTTCGTCCATCCGGGCGACGAGATCGAACAAGACGAAGGGCTTCTTGAAGACGGCAATGACGAAGAAGACGACGAAGACGGAGAGAGAGAAGATGGCGGGCGCGGCGGCGAGAACGTCCGCGGCGACGTCGAAGAACACGAGAAGGAAGAGAAGCGCGAGGAAGCATGCAGAGTGGACGTCGGTCTCGGCGGCGATTCACGATAAAAACCAGTTAAAAAGTTGCGTTCTTTAGCCTCCCTTTGCTCTTTTTCTTTCTTGGGTCACGTTGTTGTAGTTTCAAGTTCTTGAAGATTTCCATCTGGGGAAAAACGAAAACGGAAAGCGAGGGAAAAAATGCTGAAACTCTGGCCTCCTGCTAAGCCACTGCCGAAGTAATGAATAACACCCCCTTCATTTCTCCCTTGGGTTTCTGATCTTCTCTGCGAGTTATCTCTCTTCCTCTCTGTTTGATCAATCTTTTTACTCATTTGAAAGTCTTGATGGGTGAAACGTTATGCAAGAAAATCATGGCTAGCGCCTCCATTGATGCAAGAAGAAGAAGCGAGAGAAGAGACCCGATGATTCTACCCAATAATTCACAGAGGAATTCCAGAACACTCAGCTTTCGCTGCTGTTACGTCGAGGGGCCTGTTTTTGGACATGCGTGCGAACAATCGGCCATAATAATTACAGGGAATGAATGATGAGCGAACTCCCATTCAGCAGTCGTAATCAAAAAGACAGGGACACCGGGGGGGAATCTCGCGGGGGAAGTTTCGCCTAAATCCAAGAGGGAGAATAACTCCGAATCTGTGCGCCAAAAATTCGCCTTGGAACCAAGATCGCAGAAGCCAGTGGCCCCCTGCTCATCATTCGATGAAGCAAGTGTTTTCTGAATCAAGATTTGGGGAAATTCTCTGTTCTTCAATCTTTTTGGGCGAGACCCATGTGCCCGTTTTAACTTTGATATGGAAGAACTAGGACAGGATGCAATCCAGTGTCCAAGCTGGATTTCCATAGGAAAGCAAAGGCGATTAAGGAATTTCTACAGCAGAAGTGCTGCACCCCACCATCATGAAGTTTTTGCTCTTTTGCTCACGTCGTGCGATCGATTGACGGGAACCTTTTGCGGGCCACCAATTTGTCTGTGCCCCTCTCTCTCTCTCTCTCTCTCTCTCTCTCTTGATAGTTTCCAAGTTAAGCAATTTTGACATTGACCCACGTGACTAGTCAGCACTTCGAATTTACTAAATCTTACCGATCCAAATTAGAGCGGCTTCTCAGGATTAAGTTATAGATTTGGGTTGCCAACTTTTATTTGAGTTAACGAAAATGACATTAGAAGTGTCGTAATTTTCGTACTCATTTCAGTACTAGGACTTTTCGAGCCATCACTAGAATGTTAGAGTGTCACATTTACAACAAAAAAAAAACTATAATTTAAGTGTCTCCGGTAACAAATTCGAGCTATTTGTCCTACGTGACTATTTTATTAGTTTTTTTTATCTCCGATGTGGCAATTTTAAAAATATTTGCAGTTTAAGTGGAGAAAATCCCTCGGTCAAATCCCCGTTGAAAACTGCCATACCCCTTCCTCTTCTTCTTTAGGTTTGCCTTCGTCTTCTTCATCTTCGTTCATGTTCATCTTCATCTTTTTAGCCAACAATTTTTACATTTTTCTTCTTTTTATTCTGTAATCATTTTCTTAACCACCGTGTAGTCGTGAAGCCACCCAATAGCTGTTGTTTACCACATTTCTTTTTGTTTGAATTACCAACTTTTCTTCTCTTTTTACCGACCGTTATTTACCTTCTCTAATTACGTCTTAAGTTTATCAACCTTGATATGAATTCAATAAATTCATTTTTAAACGATCTATATAAATTTTCCTAAATTAAGTTATTAATTAATTATAGTTACCAACTTGTTTTTTTTTTTTTTTCTACAAAGCAAGTTTTCCTTTGTCGGCGTCACAACTTGAGCGACAACTTGAGTCCGCACTCACGTTCGAAGCTGGACACGTCGTCGCCACGTGTCGACGCAGCAGCATCGCCATTCGCCAGATGATGACCCACCCCCCCTTCTTCCTTCGGTCATGCGTCATGCTCAACCCTTTCTTTGCTCGCTTTCGCATGTTCTTAGTCCCTTTCGGCGATTCGATCGAGCGCCAAGCCATGTCGAACGCAGAGGACATCGACTCGACCTACGAGCGCCTCGACGAGGCGTTTCCGGCGCCGGAAGCCGACGGAGTGGCGGGGCCGGTCTCCAAGCCCCCGGAGTACGTCACGTCCAAGCAGCTCAAGGTAAGGCCGTTGCAATGGAGCACCATCGTCATCCTGATTTTTCTCTGGTTGTTCGATAAAGTAAGGCGCCGAGCTCTAATTAGATAGTGGTGCTGCGAGCAGGAAGGAGAGGAAGGAGCGGACGAAGCGTGGAATAAAGCGGGGAACGAGGAGAGCAAAGGGAGGAAGGGTAGAGATTCGGCGCCGGAGAGCTTGAGCTCGATGATCGTGTTCTCCGCGGCAGTCGTGGCGGTGGTCGGAGCGGTAATCGCCATCACGAAGAAACTGAGAGAAACTTGAGATTCCGGTGCGAAACCCAGAAGTTTGTCGGGCCACTCCTCTGTGTTTTTTTTTTTTCCTTGCGAAGCATCATAGGGACTCGGTGCAATGTCGATTACACTAGACATGTTGAGTCCTCAAAAATAATTGAACTTTATACATGTTGGGATAGATTGGCGGTCCTCAATCACGATTGAAATTGAATGAAAAGGAGGGTGATTCTCCAATCCTTAGGATCAAAGATGGAGACGTCGTGGAAGAGAGCACTCGCTCACTCCTCAACAGGGCCGCCTTCGACTCGAGTCGAGGTCAAAAGAGCCGAGCTGATCGCGACGAGACTGGTATGAAGAAGCATGAAATCACATCGGAACCAAAATCACCATGTTAACGCGCGCGATCACCACATTGCCAGTTGCCGATGAATTACGGCAGCCCAGCGATACTTGAACACTTAAACCCGCCGAACATTGTACATCAGCACATACCGGGGAAAAGAGAGTTGAGTCACAGCTAGAAAGCTATGGCCAGACCTGAGATCACGGGAAAATGGGATCTGCGTGAAGAAAAAATGGAAACTTGTTTCAAGTATTTATTATGACTGCCCCAATCCGGCGGTTGGGGGTTGCATTGCACAGCGAAACATCAACGCCGCCGATGGCGGGTGGGGAGTCACGATTCAGTCTTGGACTTCTTCGGGCTTCTTGGAACTGCCTTTGAGATACCATCCCAGAGCGCCGAGAGCCGTTACAGTACCAGCTACGACTGCATAATTCCTGTGCTTGTCGGTCGACACTTTCTTGGTCGAGGCACCGGATGCTGAAGACGCGCCGGGTGCGGCATCGGTAACTGAACCCCCAGACGTTTCTCCCGGTTTTGGGCCCTAAGCAGAGGAGTCGATAATGGTTGAAGCAATACGAAAGTACAACGTAATGTGCGTGCTCTAAATGGCAACAGTACACAAAGTCAAAAAGACAAAAACATGCGTGGACCATGAAGTTCATACTGCTATCCAACCAATAGCAACATGACCAATGAGTGTGATAGCACAGCAAATCCACCCTCATGGAAGGACATAACAAAATTGTTCCAAACCGCTGCAGCATGAACCAGACACAAGATTTCGAAATAGCAAGAACACGGAATTACAACAAGCGGGAGCACAACGAAGTTGAGTAATCATGACCTAAAATCTGTGCTTGAACATGGGTGCCCTGATGAATGCACGTCTAAGTTCCACTTATCCGATGATGGCACTGATCGAGTTAAACATGACTAAACCATCAGCTAAGCTGAATACGAAAGAAGAAAGAAATTCATATGGCAAAGCTTTTATCATTACCAAGGGAAGTCGCGCGTCAGAAACTCAAAAGTCAAAAAACCCAATACCTTGCGTGCAACCTTCTCTAGCTTCTCTTGTTCCATTTTCTGTGGAGACAAATTTTGTGAAAGATTTAGTACAGCAGTGATTTAGCAAAACAGAGACAGTAATGAAAATCTCGCAGATATTTCAAGATGGGAAGATGGAGAGGAAATGTTATCCAATCAAAACAAGGACGCTGGGAACGCTAGAGGACACTGGTGGAAGCGAATCAGCATCAGATTGAGTGACAACACTGGTAAAGCATGAACCAATGCGGATTCTATTTAAGCTCTACTCTACTGACTCCGAGTAGAATAAAGAACACAAGGGAAACTCATATCACTAATTTATCGAAAACTGAACCAAGAATGCTTTCTCTGTTCACTCCGACAAGTAGATTCGGTAATTCTAAATGTAAACAAGGGTTCACAGCTTCACCCACCTCATTGATGGTGGTCAACTTATGGAAGCCGAGCACCTCATGTGAACAAGGGCAACGAGCATAATACATAAGGTTCTGCTCGGAGCCCATAAACCATGCTACCTAGGCCCCAAACACCAGCATCAAATGGCAATTCTCTAAGAGCCGGTGCTTGGAGAGAAATGGTGTGCACGAGGAACCCATTTGCCTCAGGAAGAATCAAGCATGAGAGTGGCACAAACCTTTTTTTTCCTTATTCTATTTCAAATCACTACAGGGCTATTCGGCCTGGGCAAGTTCAAATGTAAATGAGAACAATGCAAGCATGATTCTACACAAAAGCTATTTATAATCCCCTCTCTCTCTCTCTCTCTCTCTTGCTCTCTCAAAACGGGAAACAAAAGAAAAGGATTAGAAGATCAATCCTGACGTACTGAGTACTCCACCAAGATAACCAGCAAAAAACAAAAGGCAACTACCAAAACTACACCACTCCCATCAGGCCAAGGGCACAGAATATGTAAATCACAAAGTAATTAGAGAGCTATCCATCCTACTGCAGATAACGTCAGACGCCGTGATTAGGCATTCCTATTTCAGCTTACTATCGAATATTCAAATTCTAACATTCCTCTTCTCCCTTCCATGGATAACACAAGAAACACAACACGGGCCCTCCATAATTTTACCTTGATGTAGACATTTTCCGCGGCTTTTTCCTCCTCGCTGAGAATCTTGCCGCTGCTAGAGAGCCTACGTGAGACGTATCTCGCAGCAATCCTCGCGGTCGCCATCGGGAACGAAAGAACAGAGTTCCTACACGATCGAGATCGTCAAATCCCAAGACAAATTCCACGGATCAATCAAAGAGAGCCGCATCATTTCTGGCATTGCACAGGAAAAGCAATACAAAACACAGATTGGAAAACACAGAAATCCAGAACATTTCCCGAGCAGATGCTCAGCCAAACAAAACAAGGCAGATTCCCGACCGGCACAATCTATTCAATAATCCGAGCGAACGTAAACACGATAAGCTCTACGCGAGCACACACCACAAGCCCGACCACGTCAATCGATTTCGAAATATCTTTTTTCACGGATATTCAGCCGAAACAGCTCATGCAAGAGTCACCGGAACCCTAGCAAAACCTCGCGCATTGGACAGAAAGGAATCCACGCACAAGCCGACCGGCTAATTCCGGCGCGGCACGGAACGCCGGAATCCAAGACTCTACCGTCGCGACTCTCTACCGAACGAACACAGCACACGAGCCACTCCAGAGTCGCAGCACGCGAGCGACGCCGCCGCCGCCGCCGGCGCGCGGCGGCGCTGATGCTACGAATCGGAACGGGGGGCTTACCGGAGAGATTGCAGGAGCGTCCAGGAAGACTTGCTTGCGCTCTTTCTGCGACTGAGAGAGAAAACCCGAGAGGCGTGGAGAGCGAAATGTGTGGAGTAAATCTGCCATGGATGGGCCGGGTCTGGTCCTGGGCCTGGGGACAGTTGGGTTGGGCCTGGGCCGGGCCCGATTTGTTCGGAGGAAAAGTGGAAGGCAAGCGAAGGACTTATTCCCTGCTTTTTTCTTCTTCTTCTTCTATTTTTTTTTATCTATTTAATTTTTCCTTTTCTTTTTTCCAAAGGATTTATTCCTTGCTTAATTCCTAAACTAGCTATGTGCGAGACGATTGTGATTCCAAGCCTTGGAAGACTTTTCGCCTTCGAATAGATGCTGCGTTTCTCTCTTTCTTTTGTTTGTTATTCGCCTGGTAAAGTTCCGTTCGAAAGGGAAATGATCGCATCTCGGTCGCTGACCTGTAAGCACCGCGTGGCGCTCCGTCAGCAAATCACTTTAAATTTAAAAAGAATGAAAGATAGAAAGAAAATGCGGAGAGAAAAAGAGAGAGAGATAGATCTGCAGCAGACAAGACAAAGTTCAGTGAGCATCAATGAGGTTTGCCTCCGAACATGATCAAAAATTACTAACGCTCCGTTTGTTTCACAGAAAATGAATGATATTGAAAATATATTTGTGAAAATAATCGCTTATATCACTTATAGACATATTTATCGTTCATTCATTTTTATTAGCAATATGGGCGATCAATTTTAGGAAAATATTCTCTAAATCATTCATTTTTTGCAAAACAAATGCACCCTAAACGCACAATTATTCTATCCTTAGTCAAATTTCTTCATCATCGTCTAAGCAAAATCCACATCGAGGTGCAGCCACCAGAAAAGGCGGATGCCTAGTTCCGAACGCGAGTTTAGAACCATCGCATTCAAAAAAAGATCGTAAGTTCACAATCTCGATTGATCAATTCTAACTTTATTGCATCCCTGTTGATATCACCTTTAACTTAGTTCAAATAAATGAGAACTCACAGGTGGTACAAGCGTCCTCAAATCCTTTTTAACTCAAATGGATGACAAGACCTAAAAAAAATTCCCTTCTTGTTGAAGAAAAAAAGCAGCTATATCCCCAAACTGCGTTTCCGCTCTCCTACTTTGTGTTACTGCACAAAGAGCACTGTCTAAAAAGAAACGGGCAAAGCACAAGCAATGTGATGAATCGGCTCTCTCGACATTGATCTGCATAAACATCTCGAAGCCCCTTTAGCCAGAAGTTTGAGCTCTCGTTTGCTGTCCAATCTATAGCCGCTCGTTAAGAGAAAAAGTTAACGCATTGACATTCTCCGGTTGCAAAGCTCTGGAGGTCCATTGGCTGCTTCATTTTTTTTTCTTTTTTACTTCAGGTACTCTAGCACGCCCTGAGTGATGTCCTCGAGGAAGGAAACAAACCCCATGTTGCTAGTGAGGCCACTTCCATCAACATCCTGCTCCTCAATGAGATAGTTCTCGAAGGCTGACGCATCTTCCTGCCCTCCCCTTATAAAGAGGAGTTTGGGAGTTATGCTTCTGTCTTGCTTCAATCTGTTGATTGTAGTCCGTAATAAGCCTGAGGTAAAAAGTTTATGCAGCAAATGAAATCAGACAAATTATTGGTATACTATGATTAGGAAAGGAAATGAATGTAAGAAACTTACAATCATGCGGTGGAGGAAAAGGAAGTGAAGGGTCTGCCGTTGAAGAATAGAACACAATAAGTGTTGTAAATGCATCGAGGAAAAATATTGGACTGCCGCTGGTAATTAGGGCCGCACGACTCAATGAGTGGCGTGGATATGCTTGCTTGTCAGGCGTAGAATAGGATGTTAGCCTAGGATAGACAGCACGGTGAAGGGAACTTGGCTCCAGTGCACTGTACCACATAATCAAAAGATATCGACTTCATTAGTTTCTGATGCGACTTTATAGCAAGATATCACAACTTCTGCCTACTAAGTAGCATTATTTTCAATAAAAACATAAATGAGCGAGTGTGGGAGATTTGAAGCTGTCCGAAAGAAAGATAATCCACCAAGACCTGAGTGCAAATAATAATTTTGCTGAACAACTGACATGGAAAGTTGATAAAGAGCAGAAAACAATTTGGTCCATCCCATTGAGGAACTAACAGTGACAGATTCACCTTGTTTCATGCACTGACAAACATCTCACTTTGGCGCTATCCAATTATATTAGGATCAACGCAGGTCAACTTCTTTTAGAAACCCCGAGATGAGACGCCTAGTTTAACACCCACAGCACAGTGCCACTTCTATGATAGTACAAGCCAAAACCAAAATAGCTCATAATCTTCCACATTAACACAGAAGCACCACTATCCTAGTTTAAATTCAATATCTGTGCGTAAGTTTCTACACCAGATGAAATGGCCTACACGTGTTATTTAAATGGCCTTCGCACGTGTTACTCTATAAGCGGTTTGCAAGTTTTTTATAGACAATCAAAGCACCAATTACCTGAAAAGGCATTGCAAATAAATCCGGTAGTCTGGGTGGACACCTTCCTCGTGGAAGCGGAGAAGAGGATTCCGAAGTAGAGCAAAAACAAGATGCGGTAACATTTGCAATTGGGGGCATTGTGAGAATGCAACGTCAACCTGAGCGTTTAGCGGACTCTCATTCTTGGGCTCAATGAGCTTGTAAGCATCATTATACTGAGCAGTAAGGATTACGAGCCAATCATGAAGCAGCATCCTTCCCTCCCGAACTCCTTGCTCCAAAGATGCTGATATAACCTGCAATTTGATTGAATTGTAAGTTGTGACTAACATTAAAATTGTCAAGTTTCAGGAAGGTGATTTGCAGCTTTCTACAAACATAAATATATTTTGTGTCTTTCGACAAGTTCAAACATCAACAGCCTTAAAGTAGAAAAGGCAAAAGGGAGATTCCTTGTCCAGCATGGCATACACAACATACAACTAACACGGTTTCAATGTCGAGAATTAAGGCTTTCCAAATCAGTCCCCAATCTTCTTAGTATCTCAGTCAAATTTATCATCTATAGTTAGTGAAACACTAGTGCAGAAAAAAAAAACAAAAGTTCATTTAATGACATCTCCACATGAGGAAACACCTACCCTCTCATCACTAAAGACTGGAAGCAACCCTTGTAATGAGAGAGAACCATTGAGATGGGTTGAAGTAAATACTAAGATCCTACTAAGACATTATTGAGGTGATAATATGTCCAAAAACAAGAAAGCCATTATTCAATGGAAAATATATCTTATTGAAGCATCTTCGGTTAAACACTTTGAGAGCAAGGGGAAAAGGAATATTCATCACGAAATCTTCTGGTTGACAACTTGAAGGCGTTACCTTTTTCAATAAATGTGTAAAAAACCTATACCAGTGTCTCTCCGACTAATTGCAATCATTCTGAAGGATGTTCCTACAATATAAGGGCTGGAAAAATTTTGCATTCAAAAACACTAAGATATCTATGTCCAAGAAGTCATTTGTTTCATTTGAATCATACTAACATGCAACATCATCCAAGAGGGAGATGGCAATCACCTTGTGAACAAGTAAAGATAAAACCACTTCAGGATCAACACTGTCATAGACTTCATTCATATTATGGGCAGCAGTGTATTGCAAAGTTCGTATTCTCAGGCGACGTTTGAGGGAGTAACTGGACCTGCAGATAAATGAGTGACATGCAACGTCAAGAACATTCAGTCCCATGAAATAGGTCACAGTTAGAAGCTAATGAAAGTTCTAGAAGGGTTTCCCGACCAGTGCAAACTATATTTTATTATCTTAAAAATATGTTCAAAGCAACAAGATATTCATGACTCGAGGAATACAGCATAGAAATATTCTAATACCAATGAGCCCCCAACTTCTCTCGCTGAAAACTCCTACATCTACGTCTTTCTCTACATAATCATTCTTGCAACTAACAATATAATGTCACAAGAAAATCTCATTTACAACAAAAACATGTGTTTCGTGGATTATTCTGGAAGGAGCCCCATGCGAAAGAACGTATTCTTCTACTTCAGAGAACGTCAGGATGGAAAAGGAGAATGACCAAGAAAAAAAAAAATCCCACAGATTTCATGGAGGATATGTTTCTAGCAGACCACCGTACGCAAACCAAACTGGGGAACGCAGAGTTAGCATCAAACCATCAAGAGATTCTCTCACGAAATTGGTACCATGAAAATGTAGGACAACTATGTATACAGAACACTAAATTCACAGTAGCAGTCTCTAAATAAACTCCATAACAAGCATTGCTCAATGTGGCTAAGTACCATATATATATATGCTCCCAAGGGCAAAAATTAAACAGTACACGAGTAGATGTTCCACGTCAACAATAATGTTGCTTCTCGAAAGGCGATGTGACTTTAAGGCAATGTTGTTCCTCTTAGCTTTGTCAAATTTAATGAACCTTAAAAGTGAACCATTGTAAAGGATTGGCCATACCTATTACCTGAACCGTTTGATGAATCTGTGAGCTCCTGTGGTGGTATTACGACAGTGTAACGAAAAGCAATCTGTAAGACGGGAGGCTCTGATGTGTGTCTGGAATAGATAACGCCATTCAATTAGACAATCTCCATATCAACTAAATAGCAGGGATTCGTTATAAATAACAATGGAGTACTTGAAGGAAGCAGCTCAAAATTAGAAAATCATTCCACAATAAAGAAGAACTATTCTAACAAGCATACGATTGGGAGAAACATAAAGATAAAAAAATTATATATATACCAGAATCTACTGAAGAAGAAAGCTGAAGAAAGTGAATAAACCGGAGGAGAGGGTTTGAAATTTCCTAAATGAAAAAACTCATAGATTTAAAGGCTCCATGCACCTACCACATCTGGATTAGTAGCACTTATTACTTGATTAGATGTATAAAGTAATTCCTGGAAATTCAATTGCATATAATGCCTTTTGCTCGTAAAACCGAGAACTGTCTGATAAAAATGACAAAATCAGGTCTCACAGACTGAACCACTTCAAAGGAACTGTGAGTGACCACATGTTTGTATAATATTTCTTTTCCAGTAAAGAAGAGATTCCTTTATCTTTTGTTAGATCCATATTCCTTAAGATAATCATCAAAGTAGCTCATGATACATAAAATACTGTTCCGGTTGAAAGACCAAGATCTGTCCAGCCAAAATCACACTTTCAATGAATAACACAATAGCTTAGCAAGCTAATATAAAAAAACTATGCAGTTCAGACAAGTGATAGTGCGTTTGAAGAAAATGAACAAACAAAGTGAAGTCTGGCAGATGTCCAAAGTAGACTTATGTTATGCATATATCAAGCTAACGAGTTCTAGAGGTATATTATATTAGAGGTCTATTTTGGCCTACATCCGTCTCTGCATTACTAAGAAAAACAGATAAAGGGGAAAAGAAAGGATGATTTCCATCAGAAACTAAAGAGAGATGACAACCCCAATACGGAGATTAGACAAACCTGGAAAAGCCAACAGTATTTGCAAATTCAAAGTCATAGGCAAATGTGGCATAGGAATCACAACATATTATGCGCTGCACGTTTTCATATTGCGGATCCGGAGAGAAATGACCATACTGCCACAGAATATGGTGCACATTGTAAGGAGACGGAAAAGAGAATTTCATTTAAATTTTTTTAAACAGCATAATACAATCACTCACTGAGTGGCCTTGTTTAAATTCTGAAGATGTTCTCAATCGCATTATACAACCAAAAGCATATGGCCTGCTCAACATCCGGTACCTGATAAACGATCGGTTTATTAAAAACAACTGTGTAGCAGAAAATAAATTGGGATTCAGCTACCACGAAGGCCACGACACATGAGTGATAAACAAACTTAAGCGTCTGCATTCCACATTAGCTCTTAATAAAAGGTAAGATCAGCTCACTAAACCAATTTTACCAGCAACTGACATGCAAGAGTTTAATCAAGGAAGGAACTTAAGTATGGATTTTTAGGTGTCCAGTTTCAGAACATTTAATTCTATTACATGATTAATCTTATCGCGCCACAATGAAGTGTATAAATCAAAAAGTACTTTCCAACATCTGATACTCACATGTCCTGAGGAAGAGTTGAATCGTCTGTACTTGTATACAAGAACAATGAGCCTCCACTGTCAATACTAAGAAACTTTAGGGATGCCAGATCTGTATATTCGTTGGTCACAGCGAATATGTCGACAGAAACACCTGCTTGAACAGCGACAGCTGCCTATAGAAGTGATGTTAAAGCTGAAACTGTTTCCATAAAAATGAAGAAAAAAAAATGATTAACCAAGCAAAAATGAGAGAGCACAAAAAATTTACCAGTTCCTTATAAAATGGGGTCTGCTCAGGTAATAAAGCCCGATCAGCATCCTCTCCTCTGCTGGCGTATTGCTCCCCATACCGCCTTGTATCCAGCTGCCCAGCTCCATAATCAGGAGGACCAGATAGAAAGGCAAAGACCCTCGCTGCAGTATTGAGTGAGAGAAAGAGATCATTTTCAGAACCAGAGGGAATTCGGAAAATGTGCTTAAAGATGGGAATGCAGTTCCCCTCATCAAAGACACTAAAGCGACAAGCCCCCAGTTTATCAAATGAATCCTAAATAAGATTTTGATAATCCTATCATTGAATAAGATGTAAAGATGAAAGCACGTCAATTGTCACTTCAGTTAATCACAAGGGTACCTTTGAGATAAATTTCTGCACTCATGGAGTCACCCAAAAAAAAAAAAAAACTGAGACAGATGCTCACAAATGCTGATAAGAAAGATAAGAGCTATTTTTGTGAACGGGAGTGATAAATAAATTTCCATTTGTCTGCGATTTAAGGAGCTGTGAACGCCATGTATGAGTTGTCAATGGGATTACCTAGTGCCCCATGAAGTACTCGTGATCTTATTGGCATAAGAGTATATGTCTTATAACCTGAGGGAATTCCCGAAAATGATTACAACAAAGATAAACTTGAACAGCTGTTAGTATTGGAGTGGAACAGGGATATTTTCCATTTGTCTGGGAGATAAGGAGCTCAGACTTTGTATATGATCTGTCAATCGATTATTCATTGCCCATGAAGATGCCATTGTCTTACTGGCATTAGAATGCATGTCTTACTTTTGAGGAAGATGATTGGAGCTGGAACATAGAATGGCAAAGGCTTCTCTCAGCATGAAGATGGCACAAAGATACAGTTTGTAACTCATTCTCTAACTCCTTCGCTAAGGTTGGCCTCACCTATTCCTTTTCCTTCCTTTATTATCTTTTGATCAAGTCTCTCTAATGTGGATTTAGGCATACGAATTCCTCTACCACCCCTAGCCTCAAGCTATGGAGATATAGCACCTACCTAAGGCAAAGGTACTTCCATATTCTGATCCAAGGTAGTTGAAAAGAGATTCCATTGCCACCCCAAATCCTCTTCCACCCATCAAAACACCATCAAGTCCTTGACCGGCTGCTGTACTCCTTTCCCATGAAGTAGTTGGTCTAAGTGTTTCAAGAGCAGATGCAATACGATCCTTACAGGTTTCCACCTATAACCAGAAGACTTGCATCACTGTAAATTTAACCTAGCCATCACTTAACAACACTAAGAAACCAAAGGAAGAAAGCTCTAATTTCACAAGTGGCATACAGGTGCTAGAAACTGTAGTAAAGGCATGACATCTTCAAGCTCCAACGAGAGTCTGTCTTCAGAATCAGGAGGAATGAAAACATTTTTCACAACTGGTACAGGCCCTTGGACATCATACAATCCAATCTTATGGCTGAAGGTAGCAAGCCCAAACAACGAACCAGGCCCAAGAGCTGCAGCAGACAATGAAAAATTAGTTTCTCCATAATGACAACTCTGCAGGATATGGAAGTTTTCAAGATCAAGATTTATTTTGGGCCAGGCACACACTACCTTCTAGAGCTGCTAGTAGTGCGCTCTTTGTGAGTTCCAAAAATTCTTCTGAAGCTGCAAAAAGAAAAGTGCGAGACAAAATCAGTACTTCTTTTAACAATGATATATCCGAAAACAAGTAACTCCAAGTAAAAGTAATGATTTTATAGCCAAACTACCTATTTTTTTTCTCTGAAGATTTAAAAGGAGAGAGAAGCAGCACACCTATAAACTAAAAAAGTTGATAAAGGGGCTTGTCACAAGGAGTGGCTAATTCTGACAGAAACCTGGCTTCAGCCAAAACACAGCAGATAAAATCAAATGTACCATTACCTAACTCTGAGCACAAGTAGCTTCTCAAGCATGAGCATACTCGTCTGTAACAAAGAATCTTCCTTGAAAAATATGTAAACTTCAAGTGCTAAGTTACTGCAGCATGAAAGCAGTGGCTGCTGTCATCCACAGCTTCTAAGACTACATTATATTCATTACTAAGCTTATACTTCTAAGTTATGCCAGCCAAGGTCAGATTTGGCACCTATTATGTTTTGCATCAGTAAGTGGTGAGCTCCATGTACTTTACTAATGTATTTATCACCAGCATTCTCTTGAACACAACCAAAGACGTTAATGTCTTTTATTTTTGGCGCAATGTAAGGGTCTTTCCGGCAAGTGGTAGTTATCAAGTCCTTTAGAAATAAAGCCTGAATTAATGGAACTCAAATAGTTATTCGCATAGAAGGCTCGTGGCATTTCTCCTTAAACAGAACAAAATTGTTTTTCTCAGTCTAGATGATGAAGACTCTAAACAAGATGATCTATAATTGTTTTCCAACACAAAAATCCATCCGAGCCTTTGAATCGTCGGATTAATTGTAAAAAGGCCTGCCATTCCCAGATACCAGTCACAGGCCTTGATCAGCACCTGGACCAATTTCAGCTATTCTTCGACAAATTCCTCAAGCACAGACTAGTTTGAGACAGAAACTTGAACCTGTTCCTTCTCCCCTTACAAATTCATCTGCAATGGTACTTTCTCACTCCTTAGAAATTTCCAAACGAAAAAGGAGAATTTCTTGTTAATTACAATTCTCTGTTATGATTATGTTGCAGAAAACATGTGAAAGAAATTGAGTGTTGGACATTTTGACATATGACACTTTTAATTATCACAAGATAAAGATTCTTCATAGTTACTCCGTTTAAACCAAAACAATTCTCAGGTTACACCACTCCAAATCTCTATTCAAAATGCATTAGTATTTTCTCTTTGGACCGGAGATATTTTTAAAACAAGTTCCTTGGCACATTTCCCTCAGCCACCATGTTAAACTTTGACCATCAAAACCACCAGATAACACCAGATGAGCAGACAAACTCTGCAGCTGTGTACATCTCCTTAAACCCATCCATTCCAATCCATAAACAGCAACAAGATCCCACATCATCCTCAGTTCTTGCGGATGGCTCATGTTCATCATCATGGTCAGGTCAATTGGTAGTTGGTATCGTTCATGACGTCGACAAGAACACCCCCACAACAACCAAGCTTTGGAGGAGCAAACACATTTCACTTAAGCACATTGCAAAGAAAGGCCAGGTTAGAGGAAGATGTTTGCCACGGCCAGCTCCATCTAGATGGCTCTTCCGAGACCTCCAGCAGAAGAAATTAACAAACTCCACTGTCTTCACTTCGGTAATCATTCTTTCCTAGTCAACACAAAGAACTCTGAACTTTGCATTTTGGCTCGAACCATCACTCTCTCAGTGAAGCAAGTGAAACGTCGACACTTGCTGCCGCCTGCAGTTGCAGTCGCCGCAATTCTCCACATCTCAACCACTTAACGCGGAATTGAGAATTTCAGGAATGGAGCACGGGACATTGACAAGACACATTTCCTTGAGACAGAGCAAAACTTACACGACAAATCAACAGCAGCGACGTAGACGGGCCGAGCTTCCACGGGCTCCTCCGATCCTTCCGCTGCAACGTCACACCAGAACTAACCACAATCAACACGCCGATCAGAGAACCAACACCTCGAGCTCAATCGGCCGGGGGTACTCACCGGGGAGCTCGAGATCTATGAACGAGGACGACATCTCGGGGCAGGACTGCGGGCGCGAGTACTTGTCGATGCACTCGGAGGAGAGGCCGTTGAGGGTGCCGCAGAGGGAGCAGTTCCACGCCCACTGGTCGAGCTCGCAGTAGGCGTTGAAGTACGCCCAGCAGTTCTCGCACCGGGGGATCAGGTGGCCGCCCGATCCGTACGCCGGCGGGTTGCCGTTCTCGTCCGTGGGGGCGAAGGGGGCGACCGTGATCCCCCACGGCAGGCCGGAGCCCTCCTGCGCGTCCGGATCGATCGGGAACCTCGACACGGTGGCTCGAACCGCCATCGCTTCCTCCTTCCTCCTTCCTTCCCCGTCCGCGAGTGCGCCCCCCGTTTCCCGAGAAAATTTTGGGAGTCAGAAAATTGGGATTGCCGGAGGGAAGGGAAGAGTGGGGGAGAGGCTCGGCGCAGGTTAGCGGCCCTTCGCCTTAGGTGGAGCGTTCCACATGCGGCTGGCCCGTGCTGTGACGCCACGTCATCGTGGCGGTGAGGTGGCATTTCCACGTCAGCTGGAGGCCCGGTTCCTCCCTGTCGGGACGTGGGTTGGGTTACCCAACATCACGCGGCGCGGCGTTCGTCACGAGCTGAGCAGATTGGGAAAGTTTCTCCTGTTTTTCCTCGAATTTTTCGTTGTTTTTTAAATCAATATTATTTCGAAGTGCAAGTATTGCATTTGGATTAATTATCGGATGAAATGACCACACAAACGACTGTGCAAGAAATTTTTTAAAAAAAAAAAAAGCAATTGTATTAATTTGCAAGTGCAAATTTCAAATTGAATCCCTTAAAATATTTCATGATAAAGCTTGGAGACCGACAATTACTCGTTTTGAATGTAAGTGTGTAATTCGACTGAGATGAGGACAAGATAGAGTAAACAGATGTTTTTATCCCTATGAATATACGGGTTTTTCTCATTCACGAGCAAATTTATCTTAGGTTATTTTGTAATTATTGTCATATATAGTTTTCCGACTCAATTTCTTGTATATTTATTAAAACTTGAGGTATATATTGTTATAAACTGAACTGCAATAAGTAAAACCCTGTTTCACCAGAAAATGCTCCCGCGGCGAAATATAATTCACCGAAAGTCATTCTTCGATTCTTAATGTGAGGAGACCGGATTCCGTGGCAACTCCGGACAGGAAATATCCAGGGAGACAATGAAAAACGGCGAACTTTTACTCCGAACTTCGAACCGGACTATATATACAAATCGTGTTGGAATTTAATCGACGACAAAGCTTGAAAATACAGCCGCACACGTACACAAAGATGTAACGCTGGAATTTAATCAACGACGCAATACTCGGGATAGAGATACACGCCGGAATTGAATCGACGACGCGAATCGGAAAGCCACAGCTAAGGAAAGATAAAGTGCGGTACATGAAAGTAAAGATAATTGAAAGATAACATGTTGTTTGATTTTGTCGGGGTCCTCTCTCCAGTAGATGGCCGGTGATATTTATAATGGTCGTGTGGTAACTGCTCCTTAGCAGTTTTCAACAGTTGTGCCCATGTTCTTCCATTCCGAAAATCTTGTCTTCATGTCCATGTGATGCCATGATTTTGCTTTCAAGATAACTGTTTCACGATCTTGTCCACAAGTGATAACTTCCTCATAATCATGGTTCCAAGTAACTGTTCTCTCAAAATATGCATGTATGCTTCTTAGTGGTTTCCAACAGTTTCGTTGAATCCACTATCTTGACGGTTCTTTTTTTTGACTCCATTACGTTGGCGGTTGCTTTGACTCCACTATGTTGACGGTTACTTCTTCTTTCTGCATCTCCAACCAGTCACAACCGTCGACTTCCTCTTAATGTCGAAAACTCTACAGTGATTTTCTAAGTAAACTCAAAACATAAAAGTTGTATATCTAGGAGTCTCCGTTCTTTTGGCTTTGGAATCAGGTCAATCCGATCTGTCTCGAAGAAGTTATGACCATTTTCCCGAACTAGCGCAGAACTGAAATTTCGTCGAGGTCCTCGACAAGATGAAGTCACGACCGTCGACTTCCTTTAACCTCGATGGATTCTACAGTGATTTTCTGAGAAAACTCAAAACATAAAAGTTGTAGATCCAAGAGTCTTCGTTCTTTTGGCTTTGGAATCAGGTCAATCCGATCTGTCTCGAAAAAGTTATGACCATTTTCTCGAATTAGCGCAGAACTGAAATTTCGTCGAAGTCATCGACAAGATGTCGAAGTCCTCGACAAGATGAAGTCACGACCGTCGACTTCCTTTAACCTCGATGGCTTCTACAGTGATTTTTTTAGAAAACTCAAAACATAAAAGTTGTAGATCCAGGAGTCTTCGTTCTTTTGGCTTTGGAATCGGGTTAATCCGATCTGTCTCGAAGAAGTTATGACCATTTTCCCGAATTAGCGCAGAACTGAAATTTCGTCGAAGTCATCAACAAGATGTCGAAGTCCTCGACAAGATGAAGTCACGACCGTCGACTTCTTTTAACCTCGATGGCTTCTACAGTGATTTTATGAGAAAACTCAAAACATAAAAGTTGTAGATCCAGGAGTCTTCGTTCTTTTGGCTTTGGAATCATGTCAATCCGATCTGTCTCGAAGAAGTTATGACCATTTTCCCGAGCTAGCGCAGAACTAAAATTTCCTTGATAAAGTCGTGACCAGTCTTGTCAATAATACCCAAAAATTGGTCATTTTTTGGTGTAAATATATACACATGACACATGTCTCTGACATGTGTCCCTTATGTTGGCAACTTGATGATATTTGCTTCCACGTTATCTCAAGTCTCCGCCACGTGTCCCTTGATGATCTTTGGCATAAACGAACCATGTCGACAAGTTGGTCATTTTTTGGTGTAAACAAACCCGAATTTTAAAGATCATATGCGGTGCATTCAAAAATCATAAGGGTGGAATAAAAGCTCTTTCAACCTATTAGTCCATCAATGAAAATTCGAAGTGAATTTCACGCTAAAAACAAGCCAAAAAACTATTTGAAGGTTTCCAAAAATTATACGAAAGATTTATTAGAAGGAAGGCCCGACATCCGTCATTTTTTAACGTGTCCATTTTCGTACCGTTTTATAGAAAAAGCCAGAGATCTTTTAAAAATGTAATGGATCGAATTAATCGAAGAGGCCCTGAAATTGTCTTTTACTGATCTTAGATGGGAAAGTAAATGGCTCGAAACATGAAGAAATTTAAAGTGCAAAGAGCAATAAATGAAAAGGTTGCAAGAATATAGATTGCCTTGGAAATCGAGAGGTTGCTGGAATTGTAAATTACTTGGAAAATAAAGGTAAAAGTGCATAAACGGTTGTGCCGTCGTTAATTATGTGTGTTCGTCACGAGGATTATGACATATGCTTTTATATTATGTCCACCAACAGTTATGGATTTCGAATTCATAAATAGTTCCCAATCCTATTTGCAATTATTAATAATAAGTTACAAATCCCTAGACACGTTCTTCAATGGCTCCGTTTGGTTCAACTTTGGAAATGGGCTTTTGGCCTCGAAAATCCCTTTCCCAAAATGTTGAACCGTTTAGTTCAGCTTTCGGAGTCCGAAAAGCGGAAAGCTAGCATTTGGAATGCCGAAAGCCCAAAGCTGGTCCGGACCAGCTTTGGGCTTTTGGCATTCCACAAATGCTAAAGCATTTTTTTCTCTTCCCAAATTGCCCTCACTCAAATTTCAATATTCCGGTTTTGCCCATGTTACTGTTCATCTTCTTCACCGTGAGGGTGGCCGACGAAGGGCCGGCGAGGGCGGATCTGGCCGGTGAAGGGCCAGCGAGGGCGGATCTGGCCGGCGAAGGGCCGTTGAGGGCAGATCTGGCTGGCGAAGGGCTGGCGAGGTCGCGCGACCCAAGCGAAGGCCACCTGGGGTTGGGCGACCGCCTAGGTGCCGTCGCCTGGGTCGCGAGACCCAGGCGGCCGTCGCTTGGGCCCCTCGCCGGTCACATTTTAGTGAAAAAGATGAACAGTAACAAGGGCAAAACAGGAATATTAAAAATAAAAATTGCCAAAGCCCTTTGCAAAAAAAAAAAATTGCCAAACACTACTTAGGCCAAAATAGCTTCACAAAATTTTATGTGTAAATTACTTGGAAAATAAAGGTAAAATTGCATAAACAGTTGTGCCGTCGTTAATTACGTGTGTTCGTCACTAGGATTATGACATATGCTTTTATATTATGTCTCACCAACAGTTATGGATTTCGAATTCATAATAGTTCCCAATCCTATTTGCAAGTATTAATAATAAGTTACAAATCCCTAGACACGTTCTTCTATGTACATGTATTTGTTAATTTCTTATTTTGAACATAACTCCTTTCACTATATCAGAGGCAAAGATTACGAGCTATGATATCCTTCTAAGATTTGCAATACTAACAGAGTTTGAAAGTAAAGCATTACCTTACCATGGGTGAAAACACTTAACCAGAACTTCTCCATTTACTCCACTTTGTAAGTCTGGACTCTGGAGCATCTAAGATCAATTGGCTTTATGAGGTCACTTACCTCAATGAAGCTGAGAATATCTCACCCTACCACCCTCCCTCTTGTAAATACTTTTGCTGCTTTTGCTAAACAAACGTCCTATTTTTCTCCTCTCTATTTTATTAGATAGTTAATCCATCACACTCCAAAAGAGTTGAAAAAAATATGTTCAGTCTACTCGGTTTAATCAGAATCATATCCTTGCTACTCAACAAGAACCGTTTGTTACTTTCCAAATCCCTCTTAAATTCCTTTGCCAATGGATTCAGCAAGGATATTGCCAATGGATTCGGCAAGGATATACTCATTTGCACTAGGGAAAATTCCAATTAAGGACTCTGAGTGGGGTTTTTTTCTTAAAAAAGGACCATAAGTAAACATAGTGTCAAATAAGGGCCTGAAGTAGACATGGCCACGGTTCGGAACCGGCGGTTCCGATTCGTGGCCATGTATGAACCGGAACTGGTGGTTCTGGGCCGGTTCCGGTTCCGATCAGGTTCCGGTTCCGACCCGGTTCAGAACCGGCCAAAAAAAGAAGAAGCAGTAGGTCTTGCACGTCTGCAGCCTGCAGGCAGCAGGCCCAACTGCAGTTTTTTTTTTTCCATCTTCAAGCCCTGCTGTAGTTATTATTATTTTTTTTGGAACCGGGCCCAGAACTAGCAGTTCCGGGCCGGTTCCAAACCGCGGGCCTGGTCAACGAGCAGATCCCGGGTTTGACCCGGGCCGGTTCCGGGCCGAAATCAGCCTGTGGCCATATCTAGCCTGAAGTGCCCAATTAGGCCCAAATAGGGGGTCGAAGTGCCCAATTAATCTCAAGTAAGGGCCTGCATTCGCCGGCCGGTCAAATGCTCGCCGGCCGGCGAGCACGGTTACTGTTCTGGCGACCAGAAAAAGGCAATTTCGTCTTTTTTTTTCCTTTTCCTTTTCCTTTGCTGTTTTTTTTTCTTCTCTCCCTCCGCCGGCCATAGCCGGGGCCGGTGAAGGTCGCCCTCGTCAGCGTCGGGCGAGGGCGGCCCTCGCTAGGGCTGGGCGGGCGAGGGTGACCCTCTCCAGATCCGGCGAGGGCGACCCTCGCCAGATCCGGCGAGGGCAACCCTCGCCCTCGGCCGACGCTGACGAGGGCGGCCCCAGCTATGCCCGGCGGAGGGAGAGAAGAAAAAAAAAACAGCAAAGGAAAAGGAAAAAAAAAGCAGAAAAAGGAAAAAAAAAAAGACGAAATTGCCCTTTTCCGGTCGCCGGAACAGTAACCGTGCTCGTCGGCCGGCGAGCATTTGACCGGCCGGCGAACCCAGACCCTTACTTGAGACTAATTGGGCACTTCAGGCCCCTATTTGAGACTAATTGAGCACTTCATGCACATATTTAACACTATGTCCACTTGGGGTCATTTTTTGAAAAAAAGACCCCACTTGGGGTCCTTAATTGGAATTTTCCCTTTGCACTACAGTGCAATCTGTCTTGTTTTATCATTTCATGATCAAAAAGGTTTCCTATTGTTGCTTGAATGGCACTTATGGGTACAGGATTTATTCACTACCAACATGTTTGTATTAAGACAGTCAAGACTACCTTAAATACTGGAAGTGTGTTTGTCACCTTATTTCAAAATTTCAACGTGGCATTTTCTGACCATTGACTTTTTATTGCTTTGAAAGTCAAGCTCTAAATTACCGGAGCTCCCCAATTCGCAAATTCTATTGTTGCTACCTTGCACTATCGAATGGTGTATAGGGTTCAAAACCACGCCATAGATCTTTCTTTTCCAGTATTAGAAGAAGCTTTGATGATATCGGTGGACAATAACTACATAACATGTCATGTTCATATTTCTAGACGGATTTTTAGATTTGAGTTGGTTAAACTCCTCCCAGAAAAACTTGGGTAACTAAGTATGAAAAGCTCCATAGGATATTCATCTTCTATTGAGCCAAAATTTACCAAGAAGAAATATGGCGGTGTGTTATTAATTTTGACCGCACTTAGCATAAGACATAAGCGTCTCGTTCTATTTTTTCCACTCTTCTTATGGTACCACTAAGCAGTTTTATGCTCATGTCGATCTACTATCTCTGTTTTCGACTGATGGATTGGCGGCGCATTTATAACATTGCTTCACACTTGACCAAAATTTAGGACACTTGCTGTCTATCTTGTTGTTGATCAAACTCCTCTGAAATTCTAGTGAATGCTTTCGTCGATGGCTTTTGCACAGCCCGTTGTCGATTGCCTCCATCGTCGACAAGCTCGTAAGTTGTCGATTGTCTTGTAAACTGATGAATTCTGCTTTGACCAGATCACTTTTTCTACGTAAAAGTTCATGCGATGTGTGAGATTTTTATCTATAAGCATCTCTTTACATTCCCTCAGCGCAGGTTAATTACACAGTATTTATTGTAGACGTCTTTCACCGATATTCTTAAGAGAAATCAATTTACAACTCGCTCGTGAATTTTAGAAAAGAGAAGAAGATGGACGCGAATTAACATAATAAATTAAAATAAAAAATACGACATAACAGCTCTAATTTTATCTCACGATTTGTCGAGAAAATAGTACTCATATTTGAGGACGCGTTTGTCTCACGGAAAATTCAAAGTCCGGAAACATTTTTTGAAAAAAAGTCTCCTTATATGGTTCAGAAAAATTAGTCAACGGAAATTTTTTTTTATTATCGATAAGAATTTACCTTTAACTATTTTCGTGGACGATGAAAATATTCTTCTTCTATTTTTTTGAACAATAAAAATAATCATTTTTTTTTTGCAAAATTATTTTCTAAAACCGAACCATCTACAATGGTAATCATCATGATCATCTCCATCTTCATTTAAGAATCTATCATAAGATACTGTCTCGGCGAATAGTAGAAATGGAAAAAAAAAAAAAAGAAAGGGAAAAAGGAAATTATTATCGGACGGAAAACAACAGCAGAGAGAGAGAGAAGTCGATGCTCTTCGCTGTCTCGAACTCGAAGAAGAAGAAGAAGAAGAAGCAGAGAGAGGGGGTCAGGGTCGAACTTCAGCTCCCTTCCACTCGCCTTCGCCCGCCTCGAAAACCCTAATCTCCCGCACAGCCTCGCTCTACGGTACTCTCTCCTTCTCCCTCTCTCTCTCTCTCTCTCTCTGCGCTCCTCAAGATGCTGTGTGAGAGTCCGAATCGCGTGCACGCGACGGCGTCGTCTTTCTCCGACAGATTCGTGGGATCAGGAGAACGCGACTCGGCGGCGGAGCAAACCGAAGTCGATTTCGCGCGTGGGTTCGGAGTGTTGTGGGGTTTTTCTGTGCGGGATTTTGTTGGAATCGTGCTTTGCTTGGCCCTAGCTGCTAGATCTTAGGCAGAGGGTCGTTCTGTGGTGGGGAAAACCTCGTTTCCCTCGACAGCGACGTTTGTGGTCGGTTTAATCTGAGGTTTTTCCGCCAGGGAAATGGGAGGTCGGTGTTTGTTTTTCGGTTCGGGGAATTCTGGGGGCGTCTTTGCTCGAACGAGGAGACCAATGCTCGGATGTTTGATGACGATAAACATTGTAATCTCGGCCATGCCATAAAAAAAGCTAAGTACGGATACCGCCGATACGTCGAAACTCATTGCCCATGGATCAAATATGGAGACCTTATAGATGACCTAAAGAAGAAAAAAAGTGGATGAGTTACTCGAGAGGGTCACTTCTCTTCCTCATATTCATTTCATTGAGTTGTTGTGGGTCTGTCTGAATGTGGATAATTTCTTTCTCCTCTTTTGGTTTGTAAATCTTTGCACGTTGTATGTTGGGTATCGCTGATAACAGTGGGTTTGAGAGGCCACTGGTCACATGTATCTTGGGGAGCTTGTGAGCAATCTAGGTCGTTCTTCTTTTGCAAACCTTGCATTCTTGTTCTTTCTCACGGTTTCACTTAAATTGTTGTGTGTTGTTAAGATTCTACGAGAAATCGACCACTCTACGACAGTGAAGAAAACTGATGCCAAATTTATGAGTTGCATGCATGTTCATTATCTACTACTTCCACCCTTGTGGACTTAATCAAAGCATGAGAATCTGGCAGATAGTCCTGCTGTATTTTTATAATTAGCTGAACTTTCATAACAAGGCTATATTTACAGATTTGGCTTCCAGAGAAATCATGATTTGCTTTTGTAGCTGTATGATTTTATTGTTATTGGCTTGGTTATTAATCATACCACCAGGTACGACCAAGTGTATGATGAGACTCCTGCCTTTCCAATGTCATGGAATGGAATGTCATTCATCTTCAGGGCTTTGTTCTTAGATTAGAGCACTCGATGGCCAAATCAGGAGTTGTCTAAACTCTAATAGTTGAATCTCTACTTGAAATCTTGTGGCCTTTGTATGCAATTACTGCAATTATTTGCCATTCCCCATCCCAAAATAATGTCACGATGCACTCCAACATGTTATATCACTTGCAAGAAGTACTGATATCACAAAGAACATGATAGGTCTTTTTTCGAACATTGAAATTCTATTTAATAGTAACTTTGGCACATCGTATGCACATCAATCTTAGTCCTTATCAATTTATTTCAGGAAGGTGCTCAGATTGGCACGTTTATTTTGGAACTGGTATTATTTGTGTGAGATTGGACAGTTGTTCTGGCTTGAATCTCCTAGATGTTGGAACAGTCACTCCCTTTTTATCTGAGTGGCTCTAAATAGAATCGTGGACAGATTATCTCGTTAACATTGTCTCATAATCTTTTATTACCTTCAAGCACCATGGCTGTCTCCTTACAAACTTCTGAACTCGTCTGATTCTTTGATTCTTAATTTTGTTATGGGGTTGATGCTTGCCCCTCAAATGAGTATGATGGGAACACCTAAACTTGTCATCACCTTTTCTTGCAGCATTCTCGTTCTGTTCAAGATTCATTTCTTGAAATTGCACCAACCTTAACTATCCATTTTTGTCATTCAAACATCAGTTTTGTCTGACTCTACTGAGTCCTACTTATGTTAGCATGATCTCCAATAATAACTCTTTCACATGGCAACACTCCCTTTCGTATCTCGTAACACTGGCTCAATTGAGTTTGATGCTCTTCTGATCTTCCTTATCACCTTTATTGCTTTTCTTCTTTTCGATATTTATATTCTTCTTCCCATGGATTCTTCTGGCCCCTTTGCCTTCTCCACAGTTTCCTTGCAAGCTTTCCTAGTTAAATACCTAGAATGCCAAGACCAAAGGCAAATGCATCATCAGCTACTAAACCAGTTGAGCCGGAAAAGCCAATTGGATCCAATGAGAGGGTTGACCTCGAAGAAGAGAATGATCCTGAGGAGGAAATGGATGAAGAGGTTGAGTATGAGGAAGTAGAAGAAGAGGAGGAAGTTGAAGAGATAGAAGAAGAGTTAGAAGAAGAGGAGGTGGAAGTTGAAGAAGAAGAGGAGGAGGAGGAGGAGGAGGAGGAGGAGGAGGAGGAGGTGGAGGAGGAGGATAATGACGATACTGTCGATGGGACTGATGCTCATAAAACGCTTGATGGCAATGATACAATGGTTGTGGATCAGGACGAGAAGAAAAAACATGCAGAACTTCTTGCCCTTCCTCCTCATGGTTCTGAAGTGTACATCGGTGGCATACCTCATGATGCTTCAGAGGAGGATCTGAGAACTTTCTGCAAGTCCATTGGAGAAGTTACTGAGGTGAACCTCACTGCTCTTGTTTTTCTTTTGAATAGGACGTGAACTCCATGTTCATTTACAACATATCCTCTCTCCTTCCTCTTTGAGGACAATGGAGACTTATACCTTTATCTGTGGCTGTAGGTACGAATTATGAAAGCCAAAGATTCAGCAGAAAACAAGGGATTTGCTTTTGTTACTTTTAGAAATGTGGAATTGGCATCCAAAGCCATTGAGGAGCTGAACGAGTCTGATTTTAAGGTACTAAGACAATATGGCCATGTTATATAGTCCCTATCTTGACAAAAGCAAACCGTAGGCGTAAGGCCGAAAACCAAAATGCCTGACAAGGAAATTGAAAGAAATAATTACTGAAATAGTATGGTAAACTCTTATTTTCATTTCTTTTGCTTGTTCTAATTGTGTGAACATCGAGGAACACTCAAATACAACTTTGTTCGTATTCTACTCAGGGTAAAAAAATAAAATGTTCAACGTCACAAGCAAAGCATCGATTATTTATCGGTAATGTACCTAGGAGCTGGGGAGATGAAGATCTGAGGAAAGTTGTGACACAGATTGGACCTGGTGTGACTGGTATAGAGTTGGTGAAGGTTAGTGAGATCTGGTTAATCGGTATGCAGCATGACATGATTGACTTTAGAGCTTCCCAAGTTCTGCTTGTACCACCTTTGCTGCATGTCGAATTTTATCCCCCCTCTTCCTATATGAAACTTTACTATCTGGTTTTATTTTCACGTGATTTTCTCGTTGACTTCTCGTTGACAGGATTTGAAGAATACTAGCAATAATCGTGGCTTTGCTTTTATTGATTATCACAACCATGTGTGCGCTGAATATTCTAGACAGAAGATGATGAATCCAAAGTTTAAGCTGGACAAAAATGCTCCTACTGTTAGCTGGGCAGATCCTAAAAATTCTGATTCTTCTGCGTCTTCTCAGGTTTGTCGTGATACCAATCTAGTCCATCTGTATTCTGATAATATCAAGATCGAGGACATTTGATGCATTTTTAATTCTTTTACGTTCTTCTTGTGCATGATTTTATAACTAATTTATCTCTTAGAGTGTCCTACATGCATCACCTTTATATATCGGCTGGGAAAGAAAGATTCTCAGCTGCTGCTCAAGTAAATCAGAGAGAGAGAGAGAGATGATGTCTTTGTCTTCTTCTTCTTCTTCTTTTTTTTTTTTTTTGGGAGGGGGGGGGGGGGGGGGGTGGGGGAGGGGTTGGATACATAGCTGTCCTGGTAAATTTGTTTGTATTGCCTTGATCTTTTTTGAGCTCTGAGGCCACCTAGTGATGAGTGAGTCACTTTTTGTGTACCTTCGGTAATTATGTATTGGTGGAGCTAGTAAGACCAAATGAAAACGGAGAGTAGGAAATGAGTTTTAGCAACGAATGAGACCGGATCTGAACAGTCAACTGAACACTTTCTTGTGGATAGGGTTGATTATTGGAGCCTAAGTTGCTTTTGTTTATTATGCGGATTACACTGCTGACTTGTCTACGAGTTGTGCATCCCCACTATATGCATATTTCTCCATATCTCATTTATATTATTGATTTCATCTTGAAGGGTGAATGTCTTGTAACATAGAGGGGGAGAGGGAGATAATTAAAAACTTTGGCTCCAGTTGGTGCCAATAGCACTTGGCATCTCATCATTCCCCTGATTATCAGTCTTGATGAGGTGCATGGTCATGCTGTGCAACTTTTTTTTTTTTTTTTTTTTACTGGCTACAAAGTAAAGAGAACACACCCCTCCCCCCACGAAGGGTAGGAGTTCGAATCCCAGCGCTGGCGTTAGGGATTCTTAAGCGTGACGTCGTGGTGGTGGGTCCTGCGCTAGCGTCACCCTGGGTTTACCTCCTCGGCTGTCGGCCGTGCGGGGGGTTCCCGGGTTACCAAAAAAAAAAAAAAAGTAAAGAGAACACAGCAGAGAATCAGTTACTGAGTACGCGGGGCTTGCTTATTGGAAACTATCTATGGATGACGAGAGGATGAGTTGGAAGTCTTTTGTTTTCAAGTCTAAGGAGGAGAAGGATAGATAATTTGGATACACTATGGTAAAGCATTGGCCCTAGTCTGTCCCTTTTTAAAAAGCGTGAGAGATATTTATCTTTGGCATTGGGATTGCAAGTGCTTGACGGTCAAAGAGCTATCATCTGAAATGAGACAATGAAAATGACATCATGTTACATTCATGCTGGACATTATTGGTTGAGCATTGCTCACTGATTATTTAATTTGAAGTTTAATTAGTAAGTTCATTTCTTGCAGGTGAAGGCAGTATATGTGAAGAACCTTCCCAAGAACGTGACGCAAGATCAATTAAAGAAGCTATTTGAGCACCATGGAAAGATAATCAAAATAGTTCTGCCACCAGCAAAACCTGGACAAGAGAAAAATAGGATTGGCTTTATACACTTCGCAGAGAGGTCAAGTGCCATGAAAGCGCTGAAGAACACAGAAAAATATGAACTCGATGGTAACTTTTGCTTCCTTGTGCATACCCTTTGCGTTTTTCTTGGCTAAATGACCGAGTTAGCGTTTGCTTTCATACTTAATCTAGGACAAGTCTTGGAGTGTTCTCTTGCAAAGCCACAAGTAGATCAGAAGTCTGTCGCAGGACCATCTTCTCAGAAGTCAGGTCTTCTTCCAAGTTATCCACTCCGTGTTGGTTATGGTCTACCTGGGGGTGCCTATGGTGCCTTAGGAGCAGGCTTTGGTGCAGCAGGCTTTGCACAAGTGAGAAACCTTCTGGTTTTGTTGAGATGTTTAATTTAGTTTCTTTGGAGTAGATGATTATTAGCAACCTTTTTTATACCATATATTTTCAAAGTACTTCCCCTTATCTTATTGAGACACTTCTGTTGGTCATGATGTGATGGTATTACACAGCACTAACACCTGTAAGATGTTAGTGGTGACATTGCTGTTGCTTCGAAATAATTATTACATCTGCTGCTGGTTAGAAAGATACCTATAGCCAGTTTGCTTTCATACTCAGTTTGATAAATTTGTGCTTTCTCTATTAGTTTGGCTTTCTCGTGCTCAAAGTTGGGATGCCTGGCAGTTTGCCAGGTTATTATTTAGTGTTTTATCAAATTAAATTTTGCTTGCTGTTGAGTGAGGCCAAAAACTTGCAAAACAGCCCACCTGTGCATTATTTTACAAAAATTCAAGTGCGAGACAGTAAACCAGCAGTAGCTGAAAAGATTATTTTATTATTATAGAGTTTTGCAATCCTAACTTGCGTGTTTGCTATTTTTGCTTGGATGAACTTTATTTTCGTCCCTGAACTTTTATGCTTTTTCTAATCAAGGCCCTGTACTTTTATTTTGTCTAATCAAATTGTTTTACTTTCACAAATTTTTTAATCAAGTCCCTGTAACGCTAAATCTGATTTAATTCACCTATGTCAAATGATGTGGGTAAAATATGTGGATGCCCACATGGACGTGTCTAGACAAATATAGCCAATTTAGACGACGTCAGAGTTTGATGTGGATAAAATTCAACTAATATGGATGCCCACCGGCTTGTCCACATTGGAAAATTTTATCCACGTTGCACTACGACGACGTCTGCCACTACATCAGTTGGATTCGGTCCTACTTGGTGTAGGAGGGACTTGATTAGAAACTTTGTAAAAGTAGGACAGATTAGACAAATTAAAAGTACATATACTTGATTAGAGAAAACGTGAAAGTATAGGTACGGAAAAGAGAGTATTTCCTTTTTGCCTTATCGGTAATTATATGTGCTAGTTTATTGCTGGTCATCCATCCTCTTTAATCCACTTATCATGAGTTACAAGCTGTAATTTATTTCTGTGGGTATTGTTCATTTCATGATCTTGAGTCATGCACAATAATATAGGAATCTGCGAATGAAAGGCTCAGGCTGTTTTAGAATACTCTCTTGCATTCTCTGACTGACTATCTGTTTTAATCTTTGGAATGTGATGATGTTGAAACTCTACTTGTTGCAATACAGCCCATGATATATGGAAGAGGACCAAGTCCTGCTGGTATGGCAATGATGCCAATGTTTTTGCCTGATGGAAGGATTGGATATGTCTTGTAAGCCCATCTACACTTTTCTTCTTATTGGATGTGCTGGCTTTTAGATGTTCGTTTCTGTGGCACTGCTTTTTGTTTTGTGAGACTGATATACATTGCAGCCGATAAGATGGTATATTGCTTACAGGGTGTTTTTTGAGGAGGGAGGGACTTTAATGCCCGTCTTTTATTAAACTCTTCTCTCTATTCTACTGTGGGGTTTATATCAAAGAAAAACTAAAGGTGGTTGTTTCCAATGCTCCAGTAGTGTCAGTCAGCTGTGTGAATCCCTTTTGAGTATTGTTTGACATGTTTACCTTGTGGAGAACCCTTTAAACTGAGTTTTCTTTTTTTTTTCTCTTTTTTGGCTGTGGAGAGTCTTAGCTGAATGTGGGACTGAGATATAATGCATTTCTGTAATCACTTTCATTTGATCGTCGGAGTTTGAGAAACTTATCTGCTGAAGGTTTGTCTAGCAATTATGACGACATGCATTTGTTGCTGAATAAAAGCTGTGAGATTTCTGAACATGAAAGTCCACGTAAAAAGGAGAAAACATTTACCTCAGTGTACCCTAAAGTTTTTTAGTGGAAGACAGTTTAGACTATAGATGAAGTGTATATACTTGAAATTCTAAAGGATGATGGAGAAGTATTCCTAACATTGAGAGCCTTTTAAATGATTAATCTTATTTTGTCTATTTGGCCAAAAGAGGAAGGTCTTGATTCTCCATGACTTGTCTTCGGGAATGCAGCAAATGTTTGGTCGAAGTGTTGCTTGTGCTTGTGTGTTCTTATCATGATTATCTCCATAATTAAGGGGGTCTGCGTAGTGTCTGTCATTTATAAGTTACATGCTGCAACTAAAAGATTAGCTCGCGTTAGTTTTAATTCTTAGTAGGCATTTTTTTTGGGTTATATTACTTGGTGAGACCTTTTTTTTGTATGCTTGCTGATTTTGATTTGGACATGGAAATTTTCAGGCAGCAGCCTGGAGCACAGCCTCTTCCTCCACCTCCACATCAAAGAAGTAGCAACAGGCCTGGCAGCGGGAGTGGCAGCAAGAGTGGTGGCAGTTCAAGCCGGGGAAAACCTAATAACGATAGTGGCCAAGGGCGAAGGTACCGCCCTTACTAGCACTGGAGGGAGTTTCTTGCCTCAAGTTTTATTAGTGTTGGATACCTTGAAAGTTGTTTGTTTATTAATTTGTAACACCCATTTTCATGTTTCTCGTTTTTTTCTTGGCGCTTCTTCCTGGGACCCTTCCCGAAGGTGATCATTTATCTGCCCATCTAATGCTATGCTTTGCGAATGTTTCGAAAATCCAGAAATTTTTCTTTTGTCCGCGTACTATTTTACTATGTATGATAGAGGCTGTTACCCATATAGAGTACAAACATCATGAGTGCTCTCGGGGCATAGATGGCACATCTTAGGGCAAAATGTCGCCACCCGGTGTGTCTACGTTTTCTCGAAATTCAGAATCGTCTCTGTTTTTTCTCATCCAAAAACTGTCCCTGTACTCTTTGAAAAGTGACGATGGTTCTTATCCCGTCTCGATGACGGATTTTGTCATTGTGGACTTAAAAGCACTAAAAACATGCGGATGTCTTTTAGCAAAATGCTGATGTGGCCAATGACATAGGTCCCCTCCCTCCCCTCGCAGTTGCCATGGCTGCTCGAGATTGAGTTGTGACCATGGCCGCTTGAGCTCGAGGCTGGAATGGCCAGTCGAGCTCAGCTCACAGCCAGCGGCAGTCGAGCTTTGAGCTCGCTGAGGCAGCCATGATGGCTCACTACAAATTTCTCTCGAGCAAAATTGCCATGCCAAACGAGATGGACAGAGAGTACAGTGGATGCAAGGGCTGTAAGGGTTTTCATGGATGCAGGTTTAATGGTGAACTAGACGTACACATGAGAGAAAAATGAGGTGGAGGCAGGAATGTAGATTTGCGGGTAAAGAGTTGATTTGAGGGCGCGTGTGATTTTGGTTGATGAGACTATTCAAATTCATTCAGACCAAGAGTCCCCAACGATCACCAAGGTTCGATACTTACAGATTTGAGGGCTGCAGAGGCTGCGAATAAGCCGGCTGGTGGCCATGCATGGTGGTGGTCTCTCTGTCTGCAACTCTCTCTTCTCTCTCCCCGCGCCCATGGCTGCTCGAGGCCATGATCATTGGTGTCTGCGGCCGTAGGGTTTTGTGGTTTTCATTCAAATTTTCTGTTTTCTCCAATATTTATGGACTATTGTTATGGTTTATCCATGTCAAATTTCCGGTTGCTAGCTCAGATTCCCGACGGTCCACATCAGCAGTAATAGATAAAAAAAATACTGAGATTAATTGAAGAACAAACAGCGTCACCTTATAAAAAGTACAAGGACGGTTTTGCGTCTTCTCTATATATAAAAATGGCGGTTCTATTGACCTCTTCACTGTAATTTTGCTTAATGTTAGCTGAAAATTGAGACGGTCAGTAATTGATGATCGCATCATACCAATCAAAGTCAAAGAAATGCTACAAGCACAAAAGGTAAAATTCATAGTAACAGCAGTTTTAATCACTCAAAATCGTCTCTCCTCAGCCAGGTGGGATCGCACATCAACCCACCAGGGGTTCAATCACTTTCTTGACACAACACCAGAAAAACAAAAGCCGCACATCATGTCCTGTAATGGAAGATACATGCTCCATCAACTTTCTCCTCCACTCTTGACAATTTCCAGGAAAATTCAAGAAGGCTTCTGTTTTCCACGCAGCAGAGAGCCGGCATGTACATCTACGTACAAAGAGAACAGCATGCGATGTGTCCCAAAACAAAAAATTTTGCTAGGGACCGTGTTGGCTAAGATAACGAGGAAGGGTTTCTGATATTGAACCACAATCTGTGACTTACCACTTCTTCAGCACATTAAACGTTCTTTCCTAAGTTTAAATTCTCCGGCAAATAATCATGGAGATCTCTTATCTCTTATCTCGGATCAATACAGCAGAGAGCAAACACGAACATTGTGAATAGGAACTCTAAATACAAAGAAAACATGTGATGCCCACAAAACAAAATTCACTGGAGACAAAGTCGGCTTACATATCGGGGGGATTTTCTCATATTGAACCAGATAATTATGAATTACCGCTTCCCCTGCAGCATCAAAGTACACATTCTTTCTTGCTAGAAGGCTCAAGGCATGATTGCTGCAGTTTGCAATCAAACTACTGCACAAACACTACGAACAGCAACTACAACTGTCAGTGAGGTTGCCGCTGGCTTCTACCACCTGAAAATCGACCGCCTCTTCCACGATATGGTTTCTTCCCATGGCCGAAGGATGGACCACGCTGCTTGAATGGCCCCGGAGCATCAGTTGGAGAGGCAGTTGCAGCAGGTGGCTGTGTATAGCCGCTCTGATCAACTCGGGATCCATTGAACTGAAAACCTTGTCCTCCGGCATTGAAAATTGGATGACTACTTTGGCCAAATGCACCAACCCCAACTGTCATTTGGTTGCATTCATTTTGACCCATGGGATTGGGCCAAGGTGCCAAACCAGGCCCTAATGTATTTGACTGCCCCATCGGCAGGACCATGTTGGGAAGTAACCCCTGGCTCAGATCAAACTGCTGCTGAAATGGCATTTGGTTGGGAAGAGGCATTTGAAATGGAAATTGACTACCACGTGGAGGCCATGGCATTCCATTTGGAATTCCATTAGAAAAAATAGCACCCATTGGTTGTTGCAAAGGCAAGCCGTTCGCCCAAGCTCCGTGTAGTGGTAGAATAGAGCCAGTGCTCAGCTGCATGAGCGGAAATGGTGAATTTGTGCCGATTCCGCCCATATTACCTGGTTGAATGGCAGAGGATGTTGCGAAATTGCCATAGTCCAGTGATGGTGCTGTAGGTGAGATATGATGCTGAGTTTGATTTAATACGGGCTGACCCTCTCTCGCTGGCATTTGCTGTGGCGGAGGTTTACCATTTTTCCAGTTTGATTCCCTACTTCTGACCTTCTTTTTGTTGTTTTTCCTGCTTTCAGCTCTCTGGTCATCCATGTTGGTGCCCCTCTTTGCCATTCTCTGCATTCTCCTGTACTCAGCCTCTTTCTCATCATCTGAAAACTCTGCCTCCTCCGACACCTCTTCGTCATTCTCACCTGAGGCATCATATCCTTTCTTGTACAGATATTTCTCATTAAGCACGTAACTGGCAAATTCTGGAATAGAAGAGATCAAAGTGCCTTGGTGGATGCCCACAGGGACTTCAGCTTCTGAATTATATCTTACGATATAGTAAGGGTTTTTGACAGGTCCAAAAATTTCATCCACCAGCCCCAGTGGGGTTCTGGTCTCAGTGATCCAAAGGATAGAGCCCTCATTAAGAGGACTGTGCTTCTCCACCCCTTCAACAATAACTTGGGCTCCTAACATCTGTGAATTATTCCAGTACCATTACTAAACAATCTTGCCCAAAAAAAAAAAAAAAAAACAAAACAAATTTGGCAAAATGATCCCGAATGTGGATTACTTCTAGCTATACCAAAATTATAGACTTCTAAGAGTAGTTGATTATGCATATCATGAGATGGCTTCAAAGAGTAAATAAAGTATATGGAATTGGCCTATACCGATAGAACAACTCCAACTGGCGACATCTGATGATGCGGCTGCAGTGTTGCATTTACAGGAGGAACTGGAGGGAGAGCCTACAATTCCAAAAGGTAGAAAACGTCAAAATAACCATTATAGCAATATAATTTGCAATATCACAACTGACAAATCGCAAACTTGTGGAATAACGTTGTACAGACACCTGAAAATAAGCTGGTTAGGTGAAAAAAGGTTTGTCTGACGAACTTGTGAAGGTAAATGAAGAATCTAAGAAACAGCCATAGTCACATCATATCCAGTAATGATTTGAATTCACACTGATCAGTCCCTACCACTTGATCTAAACAACCAAAGTTATTGACACCAGATTGTGTAGACAGTGACAGCAAAATCACAAACTCAATAAATATCCACATATGAGAACAATAACACAGAACAAATTCAGTACCTCTCCATCAATTGGAATGTCAATATGGTCTCTAATAACCATTGCACTAGATTACTGGACAAAGTCTAGCGTTCATCATGATTCCAACAAAGTTGCAAAGACAAGAGGGAAAGAGCCAGCATCAAGAACCAAACCCGTATTAGCTATAAGACTCAAAATTTACCTTGACCTCATTTTTTGACCTGATGGGTCCGCCCTTAGCACCAGTGCCAGCAACACCATCCTCTTCATCTTCAACATCACTCCAACTAACCATATCAACCACAACCTGACCATCTTCATCACTGTCTTTATCATCGTTGTCGTCATTCTTCTCCTCACCAGATTCCTCTCCTCCATCAACTTCCCGTATTTCACCTTCTTCCATTTCACCCACTTCTTCCACATGTCCTTTCACCCCCATCCTCTCCCTCTCTTCATCCCTGCGATTGCCATCATCGTCATCATCGTCCTCCTCATCACTACTACTGGAGGACGACGACGAAGTCGAACTAGAGCCGTCGGACTCTGAACTGCTTCCTCTCTCACGATCACCACCAATCATCTGTTCCCCCCGCACTGCATTTACTCTGTCACCACTCTCGAAACCACTACCAGGCACCAAACTCCTATCACCCCCACCATCATCGCTTCCCACTTCAGTTTTCACACAGATACCATCAGCAACGACCGGAACACCGGAACCACAACCCAAACTGACCCTCCCCATGTTGTCCTCAATAGAACCCCCCAAAGTCCCCACCTTTTCCCACTCCTCCTTCTCAACCTTCACCACAGAACCCAAAACTGCAGTCACCGCCTCGCAAGCTCCCGGCTTTAGCTCAGACCCAGGTTCCAACACCTCCCCCGCACCTTCCCGACCGCAGTACCCTTCCTCAACCTTCACGCCGTCGAAGCTCCCGGGCAGCACGGTCGCCGGGTCCATCGGGACGTCCTCGAACCAGTTCTGAATGGACTCGAAGTCGAGGAACGAGTCGGTGAAGGACAGGTCGCCGATCTTCTGGTCGAGGAGGGCGAGCGGGTTCCCGGTGCCTTTCGGGTTGGAAGCCTGATCGGAGCCGTCGTCTTCCTGCTCTTCAACGACGGTCCTGGAGACGAAACCGACCATTTCCGGCGGAGGGAAGGAAAGGGTTTTGCAGGAGGGCGGAGCCGGAGCAGAAGATCATGGCGAAGAAGAAGAAGAAGAAGAATGGCGCTAAGTATTTGTAGTTTGGGGGCAAAGATGGGCCTTCGTTTTTCCTCCTCCTGCGAGCAGGTTGACGCTAAAACCCTAGCCAGAGAAAAGGGTTTTTAAGCCGACAGCTCATTTTCTACTTTTATTTTTGTTTTATTTATTTTTGTTTTTGTTTTTCTCCATAATCCCATCAACAAGAAACTAATTAATTCATATGAAATATTTTCAATAATTGAGACATAAACAAAATGTTGCACTTGACCTTCCATGCTCTCGACTTTGCATTGCACGAGACTGTTTAAGATTGATTTTTCTTATGCATGAGACTATATATTTGATCGATTCGTGATCGACATTGATCGATTTTTATAGCCTTTTTATATTATTAAAGAGATAATGTTTCGAATTCTTTTCATATCGTGTATACATCTATGCCTATTCGGTAAAATAGAAACACGGGGTCGGCAGTTCTGCCTCTAATCTTTTTCAATTTTCACTCTCCCGCTAAACATTAGTGTAATTGTATGACTTACTATATTTAATGACACTCTAATTTTGTAGCCGTTAGTCAGTCCTCTTACATTTGCTTCTCATCAAGAAACGGGCCGTTGCTCTGATCCGCCGAACCGCTCGCCATCTTCCCGGCGCAAAGTAGAGCAGGCTCCGGCCTCGCGAGCGCAGGGCGAGACGACCCCCGGCGTTTCGAGCGGACCCGAGAGTGTACCTATTCATCCGGGGGTGTCGAACTCTGTTTTCTTTCGCCATTGGGTCTGACGAGCTTGACATTGTACACAGCCATAGATGCTCTAAAAGCCAGGGGACCATGGCGCAGCCGATCCGCTTTGGTGGCGCGACTCCGACCGTACAGGGGGGGAGAAAAGAGACGCTGCCGCCGGCATCTTCAGCCGCTGTATGCAGAGCGATACAACAGGTTAAGCAAGAGTGCTGTCACAGTCCAATCAGAAAAGCAACAGAGAAGGAAAAGATGCGGCGCATTGCTGATTTTTTTACGATAGTATGCTGAAGTGATCATTACACAACCATATGGAAATAGGACATCTGATCGCTTCTACAACTAAACTGTGTCTCGCATGTCTGGGAGAAAGTTCGAGCTAAGCAATTACCAAGTGATCCAAGAAGAGAGCACCAGTGTCAGCCCTGTACAAATTCATCATGAGGGAATGTAGCCGAAAAGCTTCCAACATCCCATGCTAAACAAGGCAAATCTATCCACGAAGCACCGTGAGAAGACGCGAGCTCGGCGGCTCCCTGGTCCTCTCTTGACGCTGCACGCGAATGACTAGTGCCCAGGCATTCGGTGTCGAAGTATCTGCAGCAAATCGTTAGATGCAGTGGCGAAGCACGAGCTCAGATTACACGGGTTGGTGTCAAGATTCCTTCCTTTTTTTTTCTGAAATTGCACTACCTCATCTCAAGTGGGTTTAAAACGAAATTTCATAGCTAATAGCATATATCTGCCAAAACTGCGTTGAAAATCGCTGAACGGCATCATCATCGATTAGATGGAATAACCAAGTACAATTTTGGAACTCTGTAATCTCAAAGAACAGATTTTCTCAACGTGGAATGGCAACTTCTACAGGTAGAAGAGCAGAACGTCCACCCTACCATGAACAGATTTGCTTGGAAATCCATCAGCATATATTTAGTGTTAAATTTTCCCACCTGAAAAGCCGAATGTCAATCACGACCATAACCTGACGAACTGCAAAAGATGGAGGCACTGTCTCCGAGGGGCGGAGTCTACAGACGCAAGAACCCGTGAAGTGAATGAATTGAATTTAAACAGAAACGAACTTTCCTGCCTTGTTTAGACCAGGATCTGCTTAATTACAGCTTCTGAAGCCAAAAGGGCATGGTACTTCCTTGCCAGTTTCTTGGTCAGCTTCTTGTTCTTGTTGAGCTTCTTCCACGCTTCCACATCCATGTAATCCAGGCCTATCTTCTCTGCCTGAAATGAATATCTCCATATCACATCAAAAGGCCTACGATCTCTTGATGTCACAGTGGAAACCAATGCAATCGAAAAAAGGTCAAGGAGAGTTGTGCATTTGTCGATCGATTGAGGCACGATAACCGCATAAAGCATCGGATTTAAACCTCATAAACAAGCAGAGCAGCTGAGAAAAAAGAAAGGAGAGTGCAACAAGCATTCAACCACATTGGGCTCACCCTTTAAGCTTATTATAACAGCATTATATGCCTAATAATCAAGGACATTAAGAGACCAAGAGAAGCAATGAGGATACCTTTTCTACATGCTGTGCATCGCCGAGCATGCAGACCTTCATCTTCAGACGAGGAATGTGCCGGCAACTTAACGGAACCACCGGAACGCTCATCTTTCTGGGGATCATGACTCTTCGACCCAATCTGGAGTTCAACAGTCTCGGCGAACTTCCCATTTCTTCTTGTCGGAATCACTAAAGATTCCCCGAGATAGCTTCTCTAGGAGCCTTGCCCTGAAGCTCATGGCAGGAGAAAGAAATGTGCTCTTACAAGCTATAACAAGAAAATCACACATTTTTCAGAGGGTAAATACTTCAAAACATGGTTGCACTTTCGACTAATTCAGCATATATTTGGCTTAGCCACCGGAAATCGGATTTTTAATAATGGCAATAAAAACAAAATGTTTTCTCTTAGTGAAGTTGACTTAGGATCTGTTTAGTATCGTTTCTGTTTCTTTGTTTTTCTGTTCTTTTGTTCCCCGGAACAGAAAAAGAATAGAAATCCGTTTAGTAAAAAAAATCTATTTTTTTGTTTCTGGAAGAAAAAAGTGTTCCAGAAATAGATTTGGAACAGAAACAAGAAGCAAAAAAAATCTGCTTATTGTTTCTGGAACAAGAAAAAAGAAACGATTTTTTTTCTAGAATTCTCCAAAAACAAGAAACAATCCATCGGCCGCAACCCGCCCACTGCCGCCTCTCGCCGACCTTCGCCGCCACCTACTGCCCTCCTTCCGCCGCCGCCGCCCGCCGGCCAACGCTCGCCGGCCGCCTCCAGCCCGCTGGCCGCCTCTTGTCATCGACCACTGTTCTCCGCGGCTCGACGCTTGTTGCCACCGTCCTCCACCGCTGGCCGCCGTGCTCCATCGCCCGACGCCCATGCTCTATATGGGGCAAAGCAAAAATCAGAAAGTAAGGAGAGTTAGTCTTAGAGTGTCCACGCTCTCGACTTTGCATTGCAAAAGGCTCTCGACTTTGCATCGCATAAGGCCGCTTAACATTTATCTTGGCGATGATTTTTATCTTCTTAATAATGAACATTTGTATCGCTTGAAATAATTGATCAATGAAAAATATTTTCATTATCGACAACAATCTATGTCTAAACATTTTCATGAACGATGAAAAGAAAATTTCGTCCATCATTTTTGTAAGAAATATAAGCGATCAATTTTTAAAAGATATCTTCCGATTTATCAATTATTTTGTAGCTATTAGTCTCCCTATATAATTTTCTACATCTCTTTTTACCCATAAAAAGGGAGGAAAAATGTTCCTTATATTTGGAACTTACTTAGAAGCCAAGAACCAATTATCAAACCACATTTAAGCTTTTACTTTCGCTTTCGATTGGAGGAGGTGAAAGTAGATATAAACACCTGAATTCAAAAAGATTTGTGTTCGTTAGGATTCAAGCTTGATCTAATAGGCAAGAGGACACTTAAATGAGAATCTGATGAACTGTTCTCTTCCAAGCTGCATTTGAATGATCTTTCCTGGTATGACTTTAACTACTGCGATCCATTCACTCCACAATGACGCTTGTTTGAACTGAATAAGTGCAAACACTGATTGTCAAATTTCTCTTTTTCGTGGCCGAAAAGAGATTACAACACCCTTTGTTTTCCTCTTCCTAGATTTTTCTCTGGCAACATCATTGAAAGAAGGTATCTGGGGAGAAAATTATGAGACAGGAGGAGAGCCAGTGCAAGGTCTTCCATTATCTTCAGGGAAGGTTATTGCAAAAAGCACGCGACATAATCACCAACAGAACAACAAAATAAGAACATGGATACCGAGAAACTTCAATGAAGAGTTCCTGAGAGCCATTATGATCATCCCCCACCGCCAAAAGCTACAAACAAGATAAGCAAGCCCTAATCCAATCCGAATGCGAGAACATTCAGTACAGTTCACCTTCCTTGTGGGTGTGAATCACACAATCAGAAGTCGGGTACGATACACAGGTTAGTAGATAACCCTCTTTCATTTGGTTCTCATCAAGGAACGAACCGTCGCTCTGATCCACTTCACCACTCACCATCTTCCCGGCGCAAGTAGAGCAAGCTCCAGCCCTGCATGAATAGGGCAGCTCAAGCCCCGCGTTTTCAGCGGAGTCGAGAATGTACGTATCATCAGGGGCATCAAACTCATTTTCCTCGCCGTTTGGTCCGATGAGCTTAATCTTGTACACAGCCATAGATGTTCTGAAATCAGCAGACGACTTCAAGCCGAATGACTTTGAGACTCTGTTCACAGATCCAAGAGAAAATGGGTTCCTGAAGATGGCACTATTGATTTGCTTTGGTGGAGCAACTCTGACAACGCAGGGGGAGGAAAAAGACACCGTCGACATCTTTAGCAGCTGTATACAGAGTAATACAACACAGGTCAAGCAGGAGTGCCTTCATAGTCCAATCAGAAAAGCAACAGAAAAGGAAAAGACATTACGCATCACATGATGTTTTACAATAATATGCTAAAGTGATCATAAGTAACCAAGTGGATATAGGACATTCGATCGCTTCTATAACTAGCTCTATCTTGTATATCTGGGAGTATGTTCAAGCATATTACGGTCCCTTGCTCATATATAAGTAAAAAGAGAAGGCCAAATCATTTCATGGAAGAACTTACCAATTAACAGATTTTCTAAACAATCAAACTTATTGACCTCTTTCCAAAAGAATAAAAAGAGAGGAAAAACCGAATTTTTGTAAGCAAACAGAATTTCGCAAGGTTACCATCCATCAAGGATCCAATAAGAGAGAGTAAGTGTAAGCCTTGTGCAAATTTATGAGGAAATGGAGCCGAAAAAGCTTCCCAATCCCATGCTGAACAAGGCAAATCAATCTATGGAGCAATATGAGAAGACACGAGCTCAGAAGGCACCCCGGTCCTCACTTGACGCTCCACACAAACAACTAGTGCCTCCATTCAATGTTGAAGTATCAACACCAAATCGCTAGATGCAGCGGCAAAGCACAAACTCAGATTACAGGGGTTAGCGTGAGATTTTTCAATTAAAAAAACAGATTTGCACACTACCTCAGCTCAAGCGGTCGAGACATAAAAGTTAAATACAAAGATCACTGATAATATCATATATCTGCCAAAGCATTGCAGTATCATCATCAATTCGAATAACCACCGTAATCTCAAAGACCAGATTTTTTTTACAAACGCGAAATGGACAACTTACTGCAGAGTAGGAAAGCAAAATGCCCACCCCCTGTTGTCTCCTTTTTTCACATCTATATCTAGCCTAACTCAAAAAGAGTGACAGGTCCCGCGTCAAACGCGAGGAGGGATCTCTCAAAACGCTGTCGGGCCGTCAAGCCAACGCAAAGGAAACGCCCCTCCCACCACCGTCGCCATCGACGCGGGGGGGCGGGGTGGGGGTTACCCCAGCGACCTAAACGACAACGACCCACAAGCTCTAAAGCGTCGGGGAAGATCAGGAACCAAAGACCCACGAAACCAGGCGGTGGAGAACTCCAGCAAAAGCAGGCGAGGACACCGCTACAGATTGAAACAGCACAGGCGGCACCGAGACACAGATCAAAGACCCCAGACGCAGCAGCCAAAGTGCCGGAGAGATCAAAGCTACAGATGCAACATGCACGGCCCCACGACCGAGACAGAGACAGAAAGAGAGAGAGAGAGAGAGAGAGAGAGAGTACCGAGAGGGAGAGAGGAAGAGCGCCGGAGACAGAGAGAGGGAGAGAGAGAGAGACGAGGGAGGCTTGGTAGGGTTTTCTGGGGAGGAGAGAGCTGAATAATAACAGCACTAGGAAAGAAAGTTACACGAGAAAGTTAGCCCCCTCTTTTATATTGCGGCGTCCGCGGGACTGAACCCCGAACTCTTAAAACTTGTCGAGCTCGGTCGATTACGGGGAGATTTATATTACTTTATACATGTGTTCGTATGCATACATACATTGAACTCTCTAACACGGCATCAGAGCCGGTGGGGGGTTCTGTTCGGCCTATTTCCCACTCGTTCGCCGAGTCGGTATCGATTTCCACGTTGTGTTTCGATGTCGAAATCGTCCGACCCACTCGTGCTCCACGTGAAAGGGACCAAAAGGGGTGGCGATGTCACGCTGATTTCCTTTGTTTGGCTTGTTCTCTATCTGTTGGTGCCACGTTTTCGATTCGGTCTGGGAGCTCGAAACGAAACTGGCTTTTGGCATCTGGCGAGAGCCTGAGGTCGGGAAGATGCCCCCCCGCCCCCTCTCTCCCTGTGTCGAAAGAGCCAACCTAACCTTACCTACCTATCCATTCTCAGTTCAGCGAGTCGTTCTCGTTCATTTTTGATTCGGCATGGGATTACATCTATATGTATATACCCTACATCAAGCTTTAGCTAAGACAGTAGTTTCATCTGGGACCTGTTAAATAATTTTATGCGGGCGAAGGTCCGATGAACACGTGTCGTGTGTACATTGGAGAGATTCGAGGGGAGTCCATCGAAAAGGAAGAAAATAGAACGAGTCTTTTCCATTTTCTTGTGAATCGGGGGAGAGCGATTTATTAAAATCAAATTGCGCGGCAGCCCTGACTTTTGGGCAAACCCAAGTGACGTGACTGGTCTTTTCAGTAGACGTTGGACCATTGTTGTTTCGATGTGCGCAAGGAATCACAGGAAGGGTATCACTTACCTGACCATCAATGGACCCAACTTAAGACGACATCTATACAATATCAGTAGAACTGTTGGAGGAGCACCAGCTAACTTATCTATCTGTAGATCCTCCTGTTTAGCCCCAGTTGATGATGGGGCGACCGACTCAACTAACGGTCATTCCTGCTTTGCAACAGATGGAAAGATCAATACATAAACTCAACCCAGAAAGAGTACTTTCGGCCATCTTTCCACACACCCATTGCGATAATCCCTCCTAATTTTGGCATTGAAGGTAAAAGGGACCGTCACAAACAGAGCCGTTCGTCATTGAAGTAGTGCACCGAATGGTAAATGCACTGTAAAGAGCCAGATTCAATCTAGAAGAGATAGGCGCATCGATGGAGCTGGTGGGGGCTCCTCTCGATGGCTTTTCTATTTCATGAGAAGCTCGAATTCAACTTCCATTTCCTGTTCGGAGGACATCTTATCAACTCTTGAATTCATTTCATGTTTACCAAGTTCAGATTAACACTACCGACGTACAAATACTCTGCATCGTTGGCCTGTGATCGGTCCTGTACAAGGATGAACGTCCCATGCGTCAGACCATCCATTTCATTACCTCGTTACACATTTATCTCGTTTTTAGCTCTCTTCGAGAGAGGGATGACAGAATAAGCATTCAATCTCTTACGAGCATTCCAACATAGATTTATCATTTATGGAACGCACGAAGCAAAAATAAAAATAAATTCAATATCTTCAAAAGACAAATTTCACGGTAAGATAGACAAGTTGTATTGAATAGCATAATCTTTGAGGAAAAAACCAACCAAAAGAGACAACCATCCAAATCAGCCACCAGAATCCGACTAATTCTCTGCCTACAAAACTCTTCAAATGATTGAGAAAATGGCTTAGAAGACGCGATATGGCTTTCCCATTGTGCTTTTCAAGTGCAGACACTTGACCTGGTTCCAGAAAAAAAGCATGATTTATATCAGTACTGGAAAAAGAGAGGATAAAAAAGGAAAAACGTTATAAAGGAGGTTTGTGAGACATTTGATGTGGAGATGAATCCAAAGAGCTGCGAAAAGTAAAGGAACTCACATTTTGCCAGTTTTTCTTCAGCAAGGAAACAAGGAAATTCACGCCCAGCTGAACATTTTGGAAAACCTGTTTTTCTTCCATGCTGACGTTGCCGATGGCAACACCCATGCAAAGGACTTTCTTTAGTTGGAACTTCACCATGGCCTTTGTCTCATTGACTTTAGATTCCAGAGATTCCTGATGAGTAACCAGTGTAGGGAACTTCCCTGTGATTGTAAAGCAGAGAATGGTGGGTCAGGAGTGAATCATGAACGGGCAACCCTTCCAAATGCATAATGAAAGGTCATTCATGTACTAGCAAATAAAGCCGGTCCTGCTTATCCCCCAACACCCCCCTCCCCAAAAAAACAAAAACAAATAAATAAAAGAATAGCAGGCCCAGAAGGCATCCTATGTGCACCGACATACAGTGTCAACCGCAGCCATATCCCAATGAACTGCAAAAGATGAAGGCACCGTATTCGAGGGGAGAGTCTCCATATAAAGGACCCATGAAGTAAATGAATCAAATTTAGACACAAAGGAACTTGCCTGCCTTGTTTAGACCAGGGCCTAGAAGACGGGGGATCTGCTTAATTACAGCTTCTGAAGCCAAAAAGGCATGGTACTTCTTTGCCAGTTTCTTGACCAGTTTTTTGTTCTTGTTAAGCTTCTTCAACGCTTCCACATCCATATAATCCAGGCCTATCTTCTCTGCCTGAAATGAATATCTCCAGATGACATCAAAAGGCCTAAAATCTCTCAATGCCATGTGAAAACCAATGCCATCGAGAAAAGGTAAAGGAGTTGCGAATTCAATGATCAACCAAGGCACAATATCCACATAAAGCATCGGATTTAACCTCATAAACAAGCAGAGCAGCTGAGATAAAGAAAGAACAGCGGAACAAGCATTAAACCACATTGGGCTCACACTTTAAGCTTATAATTGTTATACAACAAAACGTCCAAAGGATTATGTGCCTACTAATAAAGTAACTAAGAGCCCAAGAGAAGCAATGAAGATACCTCTTCTACATGCTGCGCATCACCGAGCATGCAGACCTTCATCTTCGGACGAGGAATGTGCGGCAACTTAACAGAGCCACTGAAACGCTTATCTTTCTGGGGATCATAATTCTTCAACCCAATCTGGAGTTCAATGGTCTCGGTGAACTTCCGTTTCTTCTCATTGGTATCACTATAGATCCCCGAGATAGCTTCTCTAAGAGCCTCGCTCTGAAGCTTACTGCAGGAGACAGAATGTGCTCTTAGAAGCTATAACCAGAAAATCACATATTCTTTACAGGGATAATACTGCAAGATGGGGCAGCCCTTTCAACTAATTCAGCATATATATTGGCTGGCCCCAGGAAATCAAATTTTTTTGAATGCCGGCTTAGCCGTTACCCTACAACATAACCAATGACTTTATACCAAGGAAACTATTCTCTCATGGCCATTAGCAGTGAACTCCTACAGGAGAGAAGCTCCAATAAGTCATTGCTCATGAGGGCACACATCAAGTAAAATGCAAGGAGCTCTAGTGCAACCTTCCATCTGGGTGGCTTCTCCACATTACCAAAAACGAATCGCTGACATTCTTGTAGATCAGAAACATAGGCGCTCGATCAAAACCATCGCCTACGCCTAACTTCCAACTCAAACAATGTCGAAGGCTAATTCATGCATCAGCGAAGGCATGTAAATCTCAAAATGCAGGTCCGCCATCATACTCAACGAAATAACTCAATGACACCAGCCACTTAGAACAATCACTGGTCATCCACCATATGGTCCGGATTACTCGACCATTTTGCAAACACAACACGGGCAAACGACACTCACCCACGAGCCCACGCAAATCAACATGCTCAATCACGAAAATCAGCAACCACGCGGGACGATAAGCAAACATCACAGCTTCAGAGCGTATATCCACACGTACCTCATATTCAGGAAACTCCACGGACCGAATACGAACAGCTTGCTCTCCTGGGAACACACAAACCAAAAGGGTCAGCAAGAAATGCCCAGAAACGATCACAACCAAAAGAATTGCATAGGAGCGACGCATGAGCTGCATCGCCCAATCTCACTCGATTTCCGTAATTCTTGCACACTACAGATGAACAGATACGATGCTACAGATCCGAAGCATGGATGCAAGCGACGCAGGTTCTGATGAAACTAGCGAGTAGAGACGATGGAGATGCGGAGAAGAAGAGAGAGCGTACCCGAAGAGAAGATGATGGTGCCGGTCAGCTTTCTTCGACGGCTGATGGAGTGGACATAAATACGCGGGGGCGCCATGAACCCTAGCCAGAAAACAACCTGCTTTGCTGGGCCCAATTCTCCGGGCCTAATGTTAAGAGAAGCCCAACCTGATTTCTGGGTCCAATTCTCTGGGCCTGAAGTTAAAGGAAGCCCTAACCCATGTTGAGAGATTTCTTATGGCACACTAGGCTTGTCAAATGGGTAGGTCGGGTCGGAGATGGTCTGGCCCATGTTGGCCATTTTTGTGCAATACAATTTCGGCGACTTATGTTTGACCCCACCTGAACCCAACAATGTTCCGACCTAACATGGGCTCGGATTTTCAAAAACTTTTCTCCTAAAATTGTTGCCTCTGAAGAATGAGCGAGTCCATGGACCAACACTCGCTGAGGCGGTGGGGGAGCTCGGGTGCTTGAGTGGGCGTGAGCTAGGGCCTATCATGGAACATAAGCAACATGGAGACATAGGTGAGCGCCGTGCTGATGTGAGTGTGAAAGCGGTAGTAAGGTAAAGGGTAGTGGATATCGCCCAAGTGACAAGCAATGCCCTCACTCTCGTAAACCGGTTCGCTTCCGGGCGTCGACCGGCCGAGTACAACTGTTAGCTTTCCAATTGTACCTCTTTCTCTCTCAAGAAATTATTTATTGGTCTGTTACCGTCATATCAGCTGTTAATGTGGCATATATTTTTTCTTTCATATCCGCTTAAAAATAGACACGTGTCTTGAATTAAATTTTAAAAAATCAATGTGGAATTTCTTGTCTGATTTCGTCTTCTTCGTTTGTACATGGCTACCCGCTTGACCTCGGACGATTCGCCATGGCCGGGCCGCTTGCCTTCTCTCCAAATCTGGTCGTCCATGGCCATCGGCATTGCTCATCCCGAGACATTGTTGCTTGTCCAGATTTGGCCACCCTCGACCTTGCTCCACCATAGTCGGTGACGTTGCTAGGTCTCCAAATCTGGCCATCCATGGCCGTCGGCGTCACTAGTCCCGGAGACGTTGCTAAGGAGTTGAAAAAATTATTTCCTTTCCTTAATTCACGGTTAAACTGGCAATTTCTACTGATTTTTCCCGTTGAATCTGCAACTTTCAACGCTCCCTCTCAAGTCTACCTCTAACAACGGTCATGGGTGCCGTGGCTAGGGCCAACAGCGGATCTGTTATTTGTCAGCCATGCAAGAGCAATGACGGAGGTAAAACTGAAGATGCAAATCCAAATATGAAGGAGCATGACTCAAATATAGATTCGGATGAGCGATGACGGAGAGGAGGGTAGGCTTGATGCGAGGACCCGTGAAGGCTCAAGGTTGACCGCGAGCGACGCCGAAAGAGGTGGCTCGGCTTGGACGTGAAGGGCACCACGCCGGCAACTCCACGGTGAGGGCGACGGTGAGGGCCATTGCATCGAAGGACAAAAACTCCCATGGTTGAACTATCTATTTTTATTATTAAATCACTGACTATTTTTTCCTCTCTCTCTCTAAGACACTCGCACCAAAATGTGATGGAGGAAACTTTTTAGCTTTCCTTCTCACGAGTAAATCGGAAAGACGGACGCATTAGGCTGTTAATTAAATGAAGTGGAGAAATGGCAAAACCAATCCACAGCAACAAAAAATGGTATTGGTAGAACGCGAAAAATCTATGAAACGTGACCTAATCGGATATGAAAATAAGCAATTATCTCCATTTACTCGGGTTTAAAAGTAAAATCAAATGTTTTGGTTAGTAATAAAAACTTAAATGAACTTTCATCAAAAACCCACAAAAAGTTAATGATAAATTACCTCCCTCCGAACCAAATTTCGGGGGAGATGAGGATGCATATCTATGTTGGCTAAGTACATATGAAGATCATGTTATTATGGATGTCTTTTGAAGTCTCTCTTTTTTTTCCTGGAGTTATTTTTCTATTATAACGATTTATAAGACATTTTCTTTTAAACCCTCTTTTCCCGAAAGAAAACGATTAGAAAAAAAATTAAGACAAGAGAAACGAATTCTGCCCTGCAATTTCGTTTCTTGATGTCGCGGATCGTATGATTGCACAAGGACATGAAAAGAAACAACCTGCTCGAATGATGCCCTAATCCCGACTTAGCTTTGCGAGGAGCTCACGTTATTGAAAATGCTTCGTTGAGGAGTTTGTCGAACTAGCGTATCTTTCTTGCACATCATGGACAAAGATGGATGGAAAGATTACGTTCCGAATCTTACAAATTTTTTCATTTCCAAACGATAAGAAAATCCCAGAAATTGCCATCATCTCATGTCCTTAAGTTCTCCAAGAAATTATTATATCGCCAGCAATCACAGCGTTTGTTACAATAGAAAGAAAATAAGAAACAAATCTGTAGTTCACTAGAGTTTAACGCCGGCATGATTCGATCGAGATCCATGCGATCGAAGAAGCTATGGACAACAAGGTCTCTCTCGTCATCATCAACACCTGCCCTCTATTCTCAGCCTCTGATGAGAAGTCGTCGCTCGCTGCCGCGGCCCCTCGGCCATCAGCGCCTCGCGGGCCGAGGCGATCCCCTTCGGCGCCAGCAGCGCGTCGAACGCCGAGTAGTCCATCCAGTCTTTCAGGAAGCTCTCCTGGCCCCATGAGTCGGGAATCAGGACCCGACCCGCGACCTCGTCCCGGTGCCTCTTCAGCCTCTCTCGCCCGCTACAGGTATTGTCCTCTCGAGGCTGTCCCAAGCCGGCTTTGGCCTCGCCTATATCAGCATAATGCTTGAACGACGACAACCTTGGAGACGGAGGAGGAGACTCCTCGCGCGACTTGCCGACAGACGCCATGGTTTCGCTCGCCGGGCGTGCACACATAGGGATGTGGCGACGGGGGCTGTTCTCGCCGCCGATCTGCGTCGTCGCCGTCTCCTTCGAATCTTCTCTAGCAGTGAACAAGAACTCGACGTTCTTCATCTTTCTTTGCGGCCACAGCAATCGTGTAGAGCTGGAGTGAGGGATAACATCGATATAAATAGTTGGATCTGCTAGATATTGTCAAGGGGGCGGGGGCATGTTGAGGGGGAATGGGTGGGGAGATGATGTACACGTCGCGGGTTTCTGTTTTCTATGGTACATGAAGTTCCTACGTTGGCTTGTGTTTTTCCTCTTGGACTGGGGTTTTGTGTGTGTGGCTTTGTGCCCATGTAGTGAGATTTTCGAGCGCGTCTTTCTTATTTTTTTCTTTGGCTTTTTTCTTTATTGGAAATTGCTGTGACTTTATAAGGTGGCCATGCAACTTGGGGTGGGGAAAAACGGTGGGTAAAATTGAGGGTGAATCAGATGGGTCCAATGGAGTTTTGGTGCGTAGTTAATGGGAGGTGGAATGAGTGAGCACACAGAAATTGATTTTCTTCCTGGGGGCGTTTGCATAGACGGGGACGTCGTGTAGATATTGCCTTCCATCCATCGAGCATCAAACACAGCCACCAATTTGCCAAATTCCGATGGCCATCATCCTCGTTGAAGTTTAGATGGACCTACTGGCTGAGCAGCACGCGGGAGAGAGTGGTTAGAGCCAAGAAGCGGTCGGGTAGTCGAATCCTTGATTCCGAGGTGGCCGACTTGTGCTCGGATTAGGTTGATTGGGTCCCATGTGGGTCGGTTCTCAACCTGGAATCGAAAAACCAACCATGCGAATCCTGATTTTCAAAAAATTGGAAAGCGAACCAAACTGATCGGTTCCGGTTCGGTAACTGGTCCAATTTTTGTTTTGTCCCGAAAAAATCAAATATTTATAATAAAATATACATGTTGCACCATTTTGTGACAAAAGCATATGTAAATAAAAAGATTATATTGTTTTTTGTTCGAGTTGAAAACCATGGTTCGATTCTTCATATGCATATTTATGTTTTTTTTTTTCCTTCTAAAAGACCGGTTCCAAACGGGCCGGTTCCCGATGCTCACCTAGCTCGAATCACAGCGTTTCTCATTCAATGTGAACGGGCAATTCAGGTGATGCAAATAAGCGGGCGATTTGTGCCTAACAATGACAAATAGTCAAATTAAAGTTTCCAATATCCTATGCTATAAAAGAAGGAAAGAATCAGGACAATCTAAATTGAGTTTGATAGATTCAATGTATGCCGATGACATTCAAAAGGAGTAGTTGCTTTCTAGCAGCCTCCTCTTCAATTGGTCTTTCTTTAGTTGATAATGATATGGTCATATACTCGCGTTTCACATGAGTCTGTTGGCATCAAAGGTTCAGTCACAGACAAACCATCAAAGGCATTTTTGTGTCTGCGTTTTAGCCAAAATTTGCAATTAGGTAAATAGATAAATCAGAAAAGAACATCAACGAAGAGACAAGAACGAGTCTGGCCAGTGCGGTGAAGAAGTTGGTGTGTCCATTTTTCTGTGTCTCGGGTGACTTATTAGACCATTTTTTACCATCAGTTTAGTCGTCTTCTAGCATTTTCCTGTGCTACTAGGAAGAATCAGGTGAAAAACACCACTCGATTACCAACAAAGAAAGCATGATATTAACCAATTTTTTGCCAGAAACAGCTGAGTAAATCACTCCAAGAACATACACAGTTCCGCCTACAATGCATCTATGCTCTTCATCATCTTGATTTTCTTATGCTAAGAGCTAGTTCACTGTTTTACCTGACATTCATCTGTGGCAACACTCAGATCAGCGGCGTCAACTACCTGTTCAGTCAATCATCTATGAAGGAAGAAAGGACGGAAGAAATGGCTTCCCTCTGTAGCTTCCGGTGTTCTGGCTTCGTGATCTCAGTAGTTTCCAAGGAGTGACAAGCACGGGCAACTCATCTCGAACACATTGAAGCAATGATTCATTCACTCTTCACAGCTTCATAATTACGGCAGACAAACATTAGCGAAGCAATGAAACCGACGGTACCGAGTATGAGAAAAAATGCATAACACATTAAAGCACTATAGCCCAAGAAAATCGATAGCTGCAAGAAGCCACTCATGTTTGACCTTGCGTAGAAGTACAAGCAATAGGCAAACATAAATATGGCCGCTGAGCCCCCGCGAAACACGCACCTGCATTGCAGAAGCAGAAGTTATGAACATAATCATGCATCCAGATGAAGAAGCATGAACACTTTACAGTTTTTTTATTTGGGCGAATAACAGTTTACAGATCACTAAGTAGATTTTGCAACTATTATATTTACTCCTTTTTCTGGCTCCAAAAAGTCAACCATCAAAATTACTTAATCCAAACACTAATCGAGCAGCCCGGCACGATAGTCCTTTATTATACCCTTCTAGCAAGCAGTGGAATGAAACAGAATTAAAAAAACAAAGTTTTAGTCGAGCAACTCCAGATTTTCTTTTTCTTTTGGGAGGGACAGAGCCTCATTAACAGCAAGCCAGCAACTGAGATAATGCACTGTGAGCTAAATACACGTGCAACATTGTAACTTTCAACACTTAATGTTCACTACTTCGATATGCACCTGATAAGTCTTATCCACAACCAACTGACTAAATTCATCTAAGATCATGTGATCATACTGAACAGGAAGAATAATCTCAATCTAAAAAGGTTTCGTTTTGCACTAGAATATTCTTTCCCTAAAAAACACCAAATTACTGGTATTTTCATCTTCGGCACTTGGGCAAAAGAGCATACCTCCACCACCAATCATGGTCTTCGGATGAAAGCTGGATGTGTGTCAGAACAACACTAAGAACAGCTGTCACTATGATGAGGATGACAAATGTCACAAACAAAGTGCCTGGAAGAACACTGATCTTGAAACCCCAAAGGGTCGTATACAGCTCGTATAACTCCAGAACAACAGAACTAAATGACAAGAGACCTCCGAGAATCATTTGACATGGCAAATTCTTGTACCAAGCTAGTGGTGGAATCTCTCTCAAATTTTTCCTTGTGATGGAAGGTGTGCAAATTTCTGTCCTGAAGAAGCGTCGAATTACCCCGCCCAAGTAAAGCAGCAGAACAGTAATTGGCACAAAAATGAAGGTGATTATGAAAATGGTGCCAACTGGAAGTGCGGCTGTGGCTCCATAAGCCATGGAAATTGTATTAAGGACAAAAGCTATCACAAGTACTGGGCCCAGGTAAACTATGCCAGTAAGGGGAACAGTCCACCCCTGAAAGTTCGAATTCATTTGTATCAGATAACTGAGAAAAGAAAAAAATAACCAGCATCACATAATATGTTTGACCTATACAAAATCAGTAGATTCAGTACCGATCCAGTTTCGGCAAATTGACTTTGAAAAGAAGTCGCAGTAAATCCACCAACCACAGATGTGAAAATATAACTCAGAACCAAAGCAGTGCATAGGGATCCACGGCTGTATGGATAGAGGACACCGAGGAATGCTAGGAGAGATAAAAAGCAAACCCTGAGCAAAAGTGTATACATGTTAGGTAAATGCTTCGGAGGACAATCTGTCTGGGTCAGAAAGATGTATACAAACCAAAAGTTCTAGGATAAGCACAGAATCGGTCCTCAACGCTTTGACCATTGGTTAATTCAGACCTTTACCTTTTATTTTGGTCAGTCAAGGCTTTAAATGTTTGAAAAAAATGTCTAATCAAGTACTACGCACACCATCGGTGGTTTCCCGATACCGAAAATCATATGTGTCTCTTATGTGGCCTTTTTTGAATGCCAAGCGGCCGAGGTCCTGAGGATCACGTGGGACTTCCAGTGTTGATGGCAAACTTAGGACTTAATTGACCAAAATAACATGTTAAGGACTCAATTGACCAACGACCAAAACTTTAAGGACTAACTCTGCACTTATCCCGAGAAGTTCCCTACAACCACTGCAGTGTGAATTAGAGTCTTAGGAAATTAATCTCCGGATCCCAAAGTTTGCAAATTTACAAAAGCGAGTCGCCTATCACTGAATATTGTTTCTCTTGTAGTAAATCTAACTGACCTTTAATAGTTATATTCTGAAAACTCAAAGATGCATAAGAAACATTATGCTCACAGCCAACTGAGACAGTATACGACAAAAGATGCCGAAAGTTGGTGGCAATCGAAAAATGCAATTGGTCACATGAAGCTTGAAGGAGCTTACATAGTCAATAACTGCATCCCCGAGCCCAAGACTGCACAAAACAGGGGAAAATGTGATGGAGGTCTGAATAATTCCCCACAAATATATTTCCTGGCAAAATCATTTTCTTCCTCGTCATCTCCAGCAGAGTATCTGTGGCACGTCAATACAGATGCATGTCAGAAGGAACAAACTGTCACTATCGACAGCAGTGTTAGAAGAAATACCGGTAAAAGAGCATTACTGTCTTAGGTCATTTCTTATGCGCCTCATGAAAAGAAGTGTCAACAAACCCATCAAAAGAATCAAGATAACGCTAGAGTTGATGAGTGAGAACCAATGTATCTGCTGGTGGATTGGCAGTAATGAAGCCCTCGAATATTTGCTCATTCTTTCCTCAAAACCAATTGAGGTTGCGTTCCAGAAAGCTGAATAAGTAAACTTTACATTAACCTCAACATCATCGGTTATATCGATAACATGATTTGGGTCACTGAAAGCATGTATTTCTATTATTTGGTCGCCATTGTAAAAGGCATCAAATTGCACATGTTTGAACAAATAATATCTGGGTCCCTTTTCGCCCGGACTCCAGCTACTATTTTCCACTTTCCCAATGAACCCCCACATTGGAAGATCATCATAGTACATCTGGAAGTAAAAATCTTCATTTACAGCATTCCTTAATCTTGCAACATCACTAACTTTGAGTTTTTTCTCGCAGAGAATCTCACGATCCTTAACCTCCCGAAATTTCAAATTGTACAAGGAATTGGTTAACCGATCGCCATTCAAAACTTCCCCAAGAGAACCACTCTTCCAGATCAGCGGGTCTGCAAAGGATATAGCTAAAGATCAATAACACGAAGCATAAGCGCCTCTATTTTCAGATTTACTGATAATGAATAAGTAGCATTGATGCATGGTCCAAAATCACGAGTGACGTTCCATAAGGCAAAGGTCACGACAGAACACCAGGAAATAATGTCTCAGTAAATTGCTCACAATAATAAAAAAATGC